ACTAGAAGATATTAAGCTAATTTTATAAAAATAAGAGTTAATAGGTTAGTAGGAAGCCTACCGATTAGATATAATAGGTAAACTTTAATACCGTCGCTACGTTAGTAACTACTAATAAAGGAAACTATAATTTCGGAGGAATAGCGATAGTATAAGATAAAGAGGGCTTTAGCGGAATAGTAATAATAAATAAACTAATATAACCACTCTAGAATGGTATCGATTAGATACTTAATTTAGGATCTTCTTAGTATATCTATTTAAATAGAGAACTTTTTATTACATTTAAGATATATAAACTAGGAATAGCAATTAGTTAGGATTTAAGTATTAGATAGTAAGTAGTCGCAGAAGGTTATAGTAATATTATATTACTAATCTAGAAACTAAATAGAATAAGATATAAACTATATATCTACTATATATATAAACTAGGGAATAAGTTTAATCTCCTTAGTCTATTAAAAATATACTAAGATTAAGGGATAAGATAGAATCCTAATAATATAGTAATTAAAGATAGTAACTAATAAGTAATAGGATATATATTTATTATAAAGAATATTCCTATTATCGAACTAGTAGATAAGCCTTACCCTATCTATTATAAAGAAGGAGAAGGTCTAGTATATATCCTAATCTTAGCTAAACTTATATACTAGAGACTTAGATATATAGGAAGCTATAAGGGATAAGTTAATAAGGATAAGCTAAGATATAATATTAGTACTAAATATTTTGATTATAAATTATATAGAAAAGGGAAGTCTAAGAAAATCATTTCCTAAGACTAGTAAGTAAGAGTAATAAAGGTTAGGTAACTACTTTATATCGACCTATACCCTATTAAACCAAAAGGAATCGGTAAAGATAATAAAATTAATAAAGAATATATAATAATTATTATAGATAATATATCTAGATTTCGAGTTATACTCTATATATCTAAGAAAAGTAATATATTATTAACCCTTAAGATATAGACTAAATAGTTTAAATAATATACTGGTTATTACCTAATAGAATAGAGATATAATAATAGAAAGGAATTTTTTTATTTTACTACTTAGGTAAAAACTGTATTAATAACTATTAGTACCTTAATATTATATACCTATAAATAAAACGGAGTTTCTAAATATAGTGGCTACTATATTATATAGATAGTAAGGATAATATATATTAATATAGGAATTACTCTAATAGAACTATAGACTAAAGTAGTAACTATAGTAGTATATATTATTAATTAACTAGCTCGCTTAGGGGGTAAAGCCCTAATATTTACTTAGAGAAAAGTAATAAACCTATAAGGAGACTAAGAGGTAATAAACCTATCGTTTCTCTAAGTATAGTATTCTAAAGTATATATCTATAAACTAAAAGAAACTTAAATATAAGGAATAAAGATAGATCCTAGAGTATAGATTAGATACCTTATAGGATATAAAGGAGATAACAGATACTATTACTATATCTATAATCCTAAAATAAAGAAGGTTTCGATTTATAGAGATATCGTTTTTTAGGAAATAAGAATTCCTAGGATATATAATAGAACTAATAAAATTAAAATAGGAGAAGAGATTATCGATAGCTCTTTAGTAAAGAAAATATAGTTTATAATCGGAGAACTACTCTTTAAAAATATAAGAGTAGTAATAGAAATACTATTAAAAAATTTCTAAAACCTTTACCTTAGGATAATTATAGAGTATACTAGCTTAGGGAAAGAGTATTAATAAGACTCTAAGATAAACTCTATAAATATAGAGGATATTAAACTATTCTATAATATCGATAAGGAAGTTCTATAGGAAGAATCACTTAAAGATAGAGTATAAGTACTTATATAAAGAGTACTAGAGATACTAGCTTAACCTACTTAATAGATATTACCTCTATAATCTAGAATTATTTATAAAGAACTAGTGATATACCTAGCTTTCCTAGGAATATTTAAAGAACTAAACTTACTATCTCCTATACTAATACTATTAAGATAACTAGAAATAAGATAGGTTAATATAAACCCTATATACCTCAACCTACTATAACTATTATACTAATCTAAAAGATCTATAAAAGGTTACCTACCTAAATACTATAATAATATAAAATAGGGAAGGTATAGAGTATATAACTAGAGTAGAGAAGGAGGATTATAATATACTATAAATAGAGATAAGGAGATAGAACTAGTACCTAAGGATTATTAGATAAATTTACCTTTTAGGGTAAGTTTTACTTTATTATTTACTGAAAAAGGACTAGAGTAAGGAATAGTTACCCTACTTCTAATAGGATAATAACTTAAGTTATAGAATATTAAGATCCCTTAGATATATATAAAGGCTATAGCGTTAAAGTAGAAAGACTAATAGTATATTATAATAGAAATATAAATCGAAAAGCTAAAAGTAGCTAAGATATATAAAATTATTAAGTAACTACCTACTAGAGTAATAATCCTATTAGGAAAATAGGTCTTTAACCTTAAGATCGATAAAGAAAATATAGTCTAAGAGTTTAGAGTATACTAGGTAGTCTATAGAAATAGGTAGAGACTAAGGATCGATTTTAATAAAAATTATATACTAATTATATAAGGAGAGATAATAAGACTATTTCTTAGTATAGTAGTTATAAATAATATATTTCTTAAATAGGTCGATTATACTATAGTATATCTAAATGTAATTATCGATAATTATATTATTTTTATATAGTAGTTAATAGGATTTAAGAAAAATAACCTAAATTAAGAAAAGGAGGTCTACCTCCTCCTATAAGTAATATATAGACTCTAGTAGGTAGGCTATCTTTAGTATAGTATAATTGTAGAAGTACTAAAAAAGATAGGATTTAAACTACTAGTTAATAAACCCTATATTATAGTCTATAAGGAACTAAATATCTAGATCCTACTCTATATAGATAATACCCTAATTATATTATTAAACGAAGAAGGAATTAGATAGTTTAAAAATAAAATCCCTTTTAAGTACTATAATCTAGGAAAACTAGATCGATTTCTAGGGAGTAGCCTCTCCTAAGGAAAGCTTAGAATATTCCTAAATTAATAGGCTTATATAAAGGAGATCATTATAAAAGCCGGCTTATAGAGTATAGTATAAGTCTATCTCCTAATAAAAATAATATATAAGTCTCTAGATATCACAAACTTAAGAGAAGATAAAGATATAAGGAAGATAGAGAATAATCTTAAAGAAGATTAACCCTAGGTTATAAAGGAGGAAGCGAAAAGATTTATTAAAGATATTAGTAAGCTAAGATAGCTAACCAATAAATTAAGACCTAATATTACCCTTATAGTTAATAAACTATAGAGAAGAGCCTCTACCCTAAAAGAAGAAGATATCGATATACTTAAATAGCTAAATAGATATATTAAGGGGATAATAGACCTAGGCATTCTTCTTAGGAAAGACCTATCGACTAGCTTAATTAGATATATTAACGCATTATATCACAATTATAAGGATAGTAAGAGTACTGAGGCGTTTATCTTTTACTATACTAGGGGACCTATTAGCTAGTCCTCTAAGAAAGAAGAAATTATTACTAGAAGTAGTATAGTAGCAGAGTATATTGCCTTTAATACCACAATTCGCGAGTATATATAGCTCCTAAAGATTATAGACTAGATAGGAAAACGATAGAAACTACTAATTACTATCTACTTAGACAGCGATAATATAGTATCTATTATAAAAAAGGACAACTACTCGAAAGGAACGAAGTAGGTAGATACTAGATACCACTTTATTAAGTATATAGTTAGAGAAGGGATTATTAAACTCGAACTTATCGTAAGTATATAAAACATCGTAGATACCCTAATAAAGCCACTAGCATAGGAACTTTTTGAGCTAATAAGGAAGAAGATAATAGCTAAGATACCTAACAAAGAAACCTGATAAGGTAAAAGTTGGACGAAATAACTTAACATCGAAAAAAAAAAAAAATTAATAATAGTAATGGCAGTTTTTACTAGACGATACAGTTTCTACCCAAAAAAAAAAAAAAAAAAAAAAAACAACGAATAAAATAGACGAGTATATTCCTCGGGATTATACCTAGGGGGGTGTGTTGGACATAGTGGTCACATGACCATCAGCCCGGTGCGGCAGGCACCAACCCCCATAACTAGATAGTTGGGCATTCTGCCCTTTAGGAATTGACAACTCTCTCCCTCTTCAATCGCATCACTACACTGTAGTCACATCAGAAAGTATCCCATATGGCGCAGGAAAATACTGAATAATTCAGATACTACACAATAACAAGAATTCAAAAGCTGGTGGGGTCGTCTACACAAACTGTCAGATTCTCCAGATGTCAGTACAACTCAACTTCGAGATTTTATCGGAAAACCTCCCCTTGAGCCCGAAATCTCTACACTCACGGCATCAGATATGACACCAACTGATGTCAATGAATTCTTTGGTCTCACTGAAGCCGAGGGTTATGAAGCATGGCAATTTCCATATCCACTCATCACCCTTAGGCCAGATTTCGGTACTTAAACTATCATCTGTTAGTATTTATAATACTATTATTTGACAGTCGACCTTATTTTGACCTCATCTTCACTGTAGTGAGATTTGTTTCACTTAGATCTGAGAAATGCATGAAAGATCAATGAAATATTTCCGTTAGCTTTGGAGTGAATTAACTTTTTAGATCCATCATTGTGACATTCTATAAAAAAAGAAGAAACCTACTTCACGACTCAAGCTAGGGTCTGGTGTAAGAAATCCCCGCGGAAGATCTGAAGAAAAGCTGAAAATCTAACTGCACTTTGTAAAATGAAGCTTTTCATATACAAAATCAAATAAAGTGTAGTTCTTAAACCACCCCCGAAAAAAGAAATGCAAGATTTTGTATGTGATGAATAGTTATGTATTCCATCCCGAATGATATAGTCTAAAATCAGGCAAAATCAACGCATACTTACTTGAAACTTAAGTGAAGTTGGACCGCGCGTACCTGCTGCCTCTGGGTATATAAGTAGAGCAACCCCCCATCATACACTTACACTCACTCACATACCGGCACGAAAACGGCCAGGAGTAACCTACCCCGTGTGCCCTGCACACTGCACAGATCCTAATGCGTGGAAGGGCCAAGTGGCCGGTTTCTGCGGTGGGATGCTTTGCGTCGCACTGGTCTATCGATTGATCTATGTTCTTATTCGGTATGTGTAGTCTGATCTACTCTCTCTTGCTACATGCCTCGTTCTAATATATATACGCATAGGTACAATGCCAGACAAGAGCAGGCAAAGGACGCCCAGAGGGCCATGACAGAGGAGTATCTCGCTGGAAAGAAAGAATACCTCCGGTAAAAGAAGAAGCACCGAAGGAAGAAGGAGCAGTACCTCCTGGATAGGAGAGAGTACCGCCTTCAGAAGAAGGAGAGGGAGAAGCAAACTCCATGGTGGCAATTCTGGCAAGCCAAGAAGGGTGGGTAACGCGAGAAGCGCTTATGGGAAGTCTCACCCATACTGACCAGGAGTGTTTCTCTAGCCAGCAATGAGGCATCCCTCCCGCTAAACAATGGGGTGCCAGAGCAGACAGATGCCGCCCCGGCCGTGCCTCCCTCACCACGGCTCAGAATCCTCTGCGAGGGAACGGCGGAGGCCAGTGGAGTGGACGTCGAACGGCCAGCCAATACTGGCGTGGAGTTCATCAGTCCACGGGGCTCCGCCTCCCTCGCCCTGGGCCGGAGTACGAGAAAGACGTGGAGCTCCTTAATGAAGTGATGGCCCGTTTCAGGGCCCATATCACGGGCAATGCCAAGGAGCCCTGAGGGACAAACAGACCATTTCTAACCACCTACCCCGGAACCGGGATGGTGGATTCGCTGATCTTTCTTCTCGCGCGGGCCGATACCCCTGCCGCCCAAACAGTACACATAGATGTACTGTTAGTCTTTGTTTTTGTTTTTTGTTTTTTGTTGTTTGTTTGTTGTTTGTTTTTCTCTTTTATATTAGGGGTTTTCATGATATACCCTTATCCCCGGGGCCTTGTTGGTTTATAAGCTTGGTGTTTTTGGTTTTTTTTTTGGTCTTTCTCTTGTTTTATGCCTGTTTTGTTGTGACCCCAGCCAGCGAGGCACGGCAGAGTCTGAATTCATCCATCTTGCTCATCATTACATGATCGATTCCATCTCGTACAGACTTATAATTAAGCTGGGGTAGACCAGTTCCAGTCTAGTTTGTATCCTGGTTCAGGAACCGGTTCAAGTAATTCTTTATATCAAGACGCAGGCTTGCAGTAGGTGGCCTCTCAAACTTCCATCATCTACGTGCCCCGCTTGTCCAGGTTCTGATGCATTTGGGCGCGTTCACTGTTACCCCATGCAGTTTGTAGGACCCTTCTGTGGCATTCCTTTCCCCTTCTTTCTCTTCTCTCGCAGGCAGCTTGCCGTTCAGCTTGCCGTTCAGCTTGCTGTGTTGGCAGTTCCTTTGTTCGCCTGCAGAGATGCTTCTTCTAATTTCTGGAGGATGAGATCTTGCGGTTTTGCAGTATGAAGTTATTTAGAGAGCCTTGTGGCAGTAGCTAGATCTTCATCATCCATCCATTTCATATCATTATTCCTGGTTGATCACACCTCCTTTCGTAGTCTGATACTTGCATCAGGTTTTCCTGAAAAAATTGGGGTAGTTAGTCTATCTTCAAAGGCTGAAGCCAAGTGGAGAAGGCAGCCAGGAGCAGTACTCGAACTCGGATAAGAAGAGGCTCGTGGAGAGCGATCGCTCAAACTTGAATCAACAACCGGCAGTTTAGGCCCCCATAGTATTTCCAACTACCATCTTTAGTCGACTAACCCATTGACCGTCGACAACGACTAACCAACGAGGACAGCGGTCAGTGATTCTCCCGTGCCCCTGGCTCGCCTTAGATAACCGGGTTACGCACACCGTCTTGGTTCAGATGAACCAGACCTAGTAGGTGGTGAGGTGAACATGGCTTAGCTATGTAGACAATCGCAAACCCCAATTCGGGTCGAAGGTCTCGACTCGACTCAAAGCCTAACCCAGACTGGGTCTTGTGGAAGTCGAGGCTTGATATTCGAGATGTAGCTGGAGTCTGGAGATGGGTGAAGTAGTTGAGAAGTACTAGTGGTGGGCCCGCATTTGAATTTCCCTCTCGCGACTTTACGAGTTCACCAACCTATCAATGTCTCATAGTAATATTTCTTGAAGTAATACAAAGTCTAAGCGGTGGTTCTTACAACCTAATAAGTATGTCCTTATTGGTCACACCGAAGATGACACTTCTTTATGCATTAGCTACTCACAGTCTCTGAATACTTTTCCAACGTCAGACATTTATATTTTGCTATACTATCTTATTTACAGGTCTCAAATTATTCGCCTCTATTAATATCAATTTAATCAGGCCTCTCCAGTGCCGCGAAACGGCCGCTCTGTAATAAACCAGCTTATCATCAAATCTCGGCTCTGTTTAAATGCTACATTGCATGCCTTCTGGTACTATTCCAGAATACCAAGTCTCCGGTGGTTTCAATCGACGAATGCGGCAGTCAAACATACTCCATAGTTCCAAGGATCCATTGTGACACACTGGTAGCTCAGGGGAAGGTAGTTAGTCGCCCGTAGACGTTGCACAATCGGCGATTCGTGGTTGGTGAAGATAGCGGACTCCACCTTACCCCGCGAGGTATAAATCGGCAGTTTCTCTATCTCTCTTGGAAGCACACAACAATGATCGAGCCAAAGACCGAGAGCTCGCAGCTCGCTGATTGTAGTCATATTCCAATTATCGACCTCTCAACTTTGGATAGTCCAAATTTCGATGAGCGACAGAGGCTTGCTCAATCGATCTATGATGCCTGCACTCAGGTTGGCTTCTTTTACATCAAGGTGTGGCTCTTAAGGCACTCTCGAACCTGATCAGTTATTAATTGTGCCCGTTCAGAACCACACGATCCCAGAGGACAAGATTAATGGCATACACGGGTCCGCGAAGCGATTCTTCGATCTCCCCGAGGAGCAAAAGATGAAGTTTTATATTGGAAACTCCCCCGTACGCCTGAAAATCTGAAATTCAAAAATATATCCTAAGATTATACTAGAAATTCCGCGGCTACAGTCCCCTGGGTGCCGAGAAATCCACAGGGACAGACGATGATCCCATTGCCGAAGAAGATGCTGTCAGCGCTCTCTCTGAAGCCTTTGACATTGGATACGAAACTGCAATGGATCCTCAAAAATCGAAAGATGACCCTCTTGCCCGTGATCCCTATGGACTGTATGGAGAAAATCAATGGCCCGGCCAAGATATACTTCCAAACTTCACAGAGACCTATGTTGAATATTGTGCCATGATGCTCGGGCTCTGCCGAAAGTTGATGAGAATCTTTGCCCTCGCGTTGGGCTTGCCCGAAGAACACTTTGATGCGATGACTAAGAACCCAGGGGTCACGTCTAGGATGATGCATTACCCGCCTCAGCCAGTGAAGGAAGAGGTTCGTGAAGGACTCGGGGCTCATACGGTAGGCAATTGACCAAAAGGCAACAAAGATACCGAATTATTTACTTATCCGCTGTCAGGACTTTGAATGCTTCACCATTCTCTCCCAGGGTAGTGTCCCGGGCCTGCAAGTCTTGAGCCACAGTGGTGAATGGATACTGGCACCGCCATTGCCGGGAACGTTGGTCGTCAACATTGCAGATTGCTTGTCAATTTGGTAAGACTGGCTCGGTCATTTATGAGAATGCGTGCTGACTTGTTTAGGACGAATAAAAAGTTCAAGTCGACTATTCATCGGGTGACAAACTTGACCGGACAAGAACGTTATTCCATTCCCTTCTTCTTCGGAGTCGACTATGATACGACAGTGTCGGTTCTACCGAACCATATTTCGGATGATAGACCTGCATGCAAAGAGCCCTTCAAAGCAGGCGAGGTGAGTCATAGAATGGGTTTAGTACCAATGTGATAACTAACGAGGGAATAGTGGGTTCGCGAAAAGCTATCAAAGGCGTATGTTGGCTATGAAGGCTAGGATAATGAATTTTATTGAGACATAATTTCTACCTTGCTTGCCCTACTATACTTAAAGTAGACAATTATGCACATCGCTAAAACTTATTCAAATCTGAATATCAGAACCAAGACATGTATGCCTAACATATATATTGAAGAGGGACCCTGCAAGGGGACAGCAGAGGCACCGACAGTCCTATCTGCGAAACAGATGTCAGAGCACAGTCGTCACTGGGAATAGTAGCGTGCTAGAGAGGAGAACACCATGGGGTGACTACTAAAAAGAGAAGGTGGAAGGTGTCTGCGTTGATATCTCTGCAGGGATGCTTTAAACCATTGGATCACATGGCCGCTTAGTCATCCTGCACAGGAATCCCCCACCCCCCACTATCCCCACTGCAATATGTTGTTCAAAGGTTTGATAACTACGGAGTAACTTCTTCCCAGATAATTAATCCCAACCTTCAGTCTTCTCTAAATCCAACCCTACAAATCCAAGAACTAGCCCCGGAGAACAAGAGGAGTTTGTAAGCATAGTCGCGAAACCCCGCACATGACATGACGCAGTTGCCTGACCGAGCTATGTAAAAGCGCAATTGCTGACACCCAGTGGGTCCCCTTATATATAGAGATTAGGTAGTCTCCTCCCGCTTCCATCTTCTCTTCTCCTCTCCTTGTCCTCCATCTTTAGCTGAATGGATAAAAGCTACTTACTTCGCAATGTCATTACTATTCAGTTCCCCACCTTCTAAGGCGACGGCCTCCCTTACACCGTTCAAGGCCGCCATCCCTAAGGCCAAACTCGTCGAGCTCGAGACGTTGATAAAGATAGCGAAAGTAGCACCACCCACCTACGAGAATTCCCAAACAGACCACCGTTATGGCGTCAATAGGGATTGGCTAGTGAACATGCAGGATCAGTGGCTTCGGTCTTACGACTGGTAATGATACCACAGCCCACCATATGTGCATCCCAATGCATGTTGAGACTGAATTATTATACTAGGAGATCCTCCGAGGATCGAATCAACAGTTTCCCTCAGTACACGATGGAGGTTGAAGATCTTACAATTCATTTTGTAGGATTGTTTTCGGAAAAGAAGGATGCTGTTCCTATCATTTTGTTGCATGGATGGCCTGGTGGGTCTATCTTGGTCTTAATCTCACAACAGGAAAATGAGCAATTCATCGAGACTGACATATCATTAAAGGGAGCTTCCTCGAGTTTTTGCCTATACTGCAGAGGTTCCGAGAGGAGTACACGCCGGAAACCTTGCCCTATCATCTGATTGTACCTTCATTGCCCGGTTACGCATTTTCCTCTGGACCCCCATTGGATAGGGACTTTGGAACAGGTGACATCGCCCGTGTTTTGGACCAACTGATGAAAAACCTCGGCTTTGAGAGCGGATATGTGGCCCAGGGAGGTGATATTGGAAGTCAAATTGCCAGGCGTTTGGGCACGGAGCATGAAAGCTGCAAAGGTACAGAAAATCCATGGTATTCCTACTGGGGTGATTGAGCCTTCTCTGACAAGTTGCGGTATAGCTGTACACGGTAAGTCCTTTCTTCATCAAAGTTATCTAATGACTAGAATACGAATATCAGCTAGTCAACGCGGTTTTCATGAGGAAGCCGGATGGCATGACAGACGACCACCTGAACGCCTTTGAAATACAGGGCATCGAGAATATGAAGAAATTCATAAGTACGGGCGTAGGCTATGCGATTGAGCACGGCACTCGACCCAGCACCATCGGGCAAGTTTTGTCATCGAGCCCTCTTGCTCTACTAGCGTGGTGAGTCGTGCAAAGCGAAGCGTAGTCAGCAGGAATCGCAAACCTGACACCTGCAGGATTGGAGAAAAGTTCCTGGATTGGGTCGACGATCCGCTTGCCCTAGAAGATATTTTGGAATCTGTCACCTTGTACTGGCTGACGGAGACGTTCCCGCGGGCGATCTATACTTACCGACAGGTGAATTTCCCTATTATTTTCGACTTCCATGAGCAGATATCTGATGTGGGTAAATAGAGCTTTCCTGCGCCACCGGTTATGATCGCCAATGACCCTCGTTGGTATATCCACAAGCCATTTGGATTTTCTTCTTTCCCTGGGGAGCATGTTCGACTGCCGCGCTCGTGGATTGAAACCACTGGAGACTTGGTATTCTGGGAGCAGCACCAGAAGGTATACGATGTGGCATTTGAAGAGCCGAGATTTGATACTGACGCTGGTTTATTATAGGGTGGTCATTTCGCGGCACTAGAGAGGCCTGATGAATTGAAGGCGGACCTAGTCAAGTTTGTAGACCAGGTCTGGCCAGGTATTAAGAGAGCCGACTAAGTTGAGACTAAGGAGTAGGGTAGTAGAGTATTTGGTAATGAGTTAAAATTGTCTGAAGTGGAAAGCTAGCTGATGCAATATTAACAAATGAGAGTATATTTAGTCGCCCGTAAACGTCGATTCCAATAGAAACATTGATTCAACCTATATTCGCGCTTTGTTTATTGATATTTTTGCATTTCATCTTCTATCTCATATGTACTCCGAGGCAAATCAACCTTACTAAAGTACTCATATCAATAAACGATTCTTGGGACTAATTTGAACGCATATTTATCAACTAGCCAATGTTTAAACAGAAGCTTCGGGGGCTTCAGGTGAGGCTAAGGTATCCAACCAAAGCCAGGAAATGACGGCCTGGATGAGGCAGGTAATGGCTGCACCGGGTGAGTGAATTGAACGGTACATTATTAGAAAGTATGACTCACCTAGTGCCACAGTCATGTAAAAGAAGCCAACTCCTTCAAATAGCGAGCCAGTCAATAAAGGCCCGAGCATCATTCCGAGACTATATCCCACTTCAGTCATGGAAAAGACTCGCAGGTTGCTTCTGTTGGCCTCGAATAGCTGCGCATCTTTAGTTTCCATGTCCTTGACAACATCTATTGAAAGTCACAATTGTTAGTGGAGGGATGAACAACACAAAATGTGATCACTCACAAGCCAGTTGCACGGCTCCTACGCCGCGCACAAGAGGTAGGATACTACCCAAGGCAATCAAACCGGTGGTAAAAATAGACTTTCCAGCTGCATCTCCTCCGGCCCATGGGAAGTGGGAGTCCCCGGGCATCCCTAGAAGTAAGATGAGAGGGATCATCGCAAGCCAGCCGAAGACGGTAGGTCCCCGTATTCCGACTCGATCGCGAAGCCATCCGGATGGGCCGCTAAGAACGATATTCGGGACTTGGAGACAGAAGAACATCATACTAATGAGCAAACTCTTCCAACCGAATGCTTGTCGCAGGTGGACAGGGAGAGTGTTGTTAATGCCAGACATGAGGGAGGAGACAACGACGACGTTGGTCAATCCGGTCAAAACACGTGGATCGGAGAGCATAATTCTGTAGTACTCATGTTTGAGGTCATGCTTGTTCTCCACTTTACAGTCATCTGGATTGACGGTAGATGGTGCCTCAGAAAGCAGTGCAGTCGTCTCTTCTGGGTCCACCTCATTGCTGACCACTGACAAAATAGGCTTGCTCAAAGAATCAATTTTCTTTGAAGATTCGAGACCAGGCTCAATCATTACCAGGCGGGCAATGATATCCAGGACGAGTACGATCAAGGGAAGTGACCAGGCGGCCCAGTAGCCAAATAACTGGAGCAATGCGCCACTCACTGTTGGTCCGCCGACCATTCCTGCAGTTACAAATGACATGGCCATGCCCATCGACTGTCCAAGGTGTTGCTTGTCCACATTATTTGCCAATAGAGCAAATCCAACCACCCAAGTTCCGGCACCTGCCATAGATTGCAGGATGCGACCAAAGAAGAGGATCCAAACTGTTCACGAAATCAGTTTTGTAGAGTCATCATCAAGATTAAATATGCTCATACCGGATGGGGCAAGAGCAATCATAAGGGTCCCTATAAAACATCCTGCCAGGGCGATCAATAGTGGTTTCTTTTGGCTCGGAGTCTTCTCGGCAAAATGCGCGACAATCGGAGCAGAAACGAGACCAATGAACCCATGAGTGGTGAGCAATGCCGTAGTGAATGTCTGAGTCTGTGATGGATCCAGATGCAGTCGTTCTTCAAGCATATAACTCAAGATCGGAGTAAGAAACCCGTAGAGAAATGTCTCTAGTGGATTGTTAGCATGACTCAGAGTGAGAACAGTGAAGCAACCACACACCTGCGAATAAGGCAACCGTGATGGACGAAACCACCAAAAGGCGAGATGAACGCCACCTGTAGCCCCATGGCTTTGTATCCTTGTCCATTTTAATATATTGAGAGTTTGACAAGAGAAGAATGAAAAAGTGGGGGGCAGAGAAGAAATTAGTTAAGTAGTTTTCAGGCGCTATGATCACAAATAGAATCCCATTATATTAAGCTAGCTCATGGAGATAACACTATTGTCGATTTCGTTTACGAGCCCTGCATGTTTAGTTCGTCTTTCTAGTGCCGGCAATGGCTTTCTATTGGTAATGAGTCAGTTCAGATCGTGCTCGCGTCTGAGCCGAACACCCTGATCGATGCCTCAATGCACCTCTAATGCACCTCCAATGCAGCTACAAGGAAGGCAACACGGAAATCACAACGAGTGTGTCACACTTAGAGTTCACGCCCTTTTTGCAGATCCGTCTTATGTACTATGTACTATGTACAAGCATACACATCCTGCAATGGTATCCCGAACAGAACTTCAAGAGCTCACGGAACATTTACATTTCAATCGCGATTGATCCACTTACCCCATAAGTGTCGAGCTATTACGCAAATCTGCCAATGTATCTAGGCGCACATAGCCCGTCGGCAACCGTCGGACCTGCCGCGGTCTTATGTACCAAGTATGACTAGGCAGATCACAGTAGTATCGGCACCGTAGCTTGCGTGTTCGGTCCTCTGATCTGAAACTGGTAAACGGCTGAATTCTCGCGGGGTAGAAAAACGGGGTCTACATGCAATGCACTGAAACAATAATAGTTCGAGGGATAAGCCGCGGCGTGAGGCATGCATGAGACAGATCTTACTGCAAGTCCAACTTATGAGGGTGTATATCAACTCATATTCTGATAGTATTGTATTGTTCTATCTAATATATAATCTCTCGTTGGTATTTACTTGGTAACTCCAAATGCAACCAATCCGGCATACCATCCCAGTAGGAACTATATATAGCGACTATAATGTAGTATCGGTTCTAGGCAATCGCTACAAACAGTGAGTCTTATTGGTGGGATACTCCGAAATGGCTAAGACCACTCCATAACTGCACATATAAAACGCCAAGTATACTTAGTACATATCCAGACTATCCTCCGTAGACGCGATATCCTCGACTTCAAGGTGGATATCTCACCGCCCCACTATGTGATTTTTGACTCCAAATCCTATCAACGCAACAGATTGAGAGCAACTAGATTGTCAAAGGATCTCATTTCGTTCACCGTGTGCATCGTCGGAGTGGAAATAGTGTGTCACGCGACTTGGACTTTTGATATACATACCCTGCCGCGGTGACATTTTCGGACATATTCAAGACGCCACATTCCGCCCCCTCCGGAGTCGACAGCTAAACTCCGAGACTTGCAAGGGCTAAAATCATTCTAAATTCGGACTAGAGCAAAATGGGAAGCATTCAACATCCCCAGTCGGCGACTACAGTCTTTCTAGACCAGCCACCCAGTTGCCTGGAGTTCTGTCCCGAGGCCCCAGACTATTTCATCGTGGGCACCTACCTTCTATCAGAGAACAAAACTGAAGATGGAGGAATCGAGCAGTCCAAAACTGGGAGTCTACAACTATGGAAATTAGACCCTGTTAGCAAGACATTGTAAGCTAACCACAATCAATCATATTACCTAGTATAACGCCCTCATAACAAACCCACTAACAGCACTTAGATCCCAAATCCAAAGAATTGCCGTCCCATACGCAGTCTTTGACCTGCATTTCCACCCAAGACACAAGAACCTATTCGCAATTGCAAGCAGCGTGGGATCAGTGGCTCTATTCCAAGTATCCAACCCCACCACCGGAGACACATCCGCAACTCCAACTCCAAGCATCACCGAGATATGGACGAAGCAAGTACACGAAGACCCCTCAATCCCAGCCCTATTCCTCGCCTGGGCACCGCAAAACTGGTTCCCGCAGCTCGCAGCCGATGGCTTCGCCGTCACATTCTCAGACAGCCGGACAGCCGTCTTCGGAACAGAGGCCGACATCCGCCAAGAACATAGTGTCGCAGAATGGGGCAAATACGAAGCCAAGCAGATGATCGAAGTCTGGTTTGTCGCATTGTCAACAAGCACCGGGACCCCAGATGCGAAGTCCCAGATCCCGTTCATGTTCACGGGGAATGACTTCGGCTCGCTACACACGCGCCGATTCGATAATACCACCGAGTTGGATGATCCGGACGAGCATATCTCGCCCATGATGCTCGAGCATGATGATCGCGCCCGCCACCACACTGCTGGTGTCACTGCTATCTTGCCTCTTGATGTTCCCTTGGTCGATGATGCGCCGGTTCTTCTGACGGGGTGCTATGATGAGAGTCTTCGTGTGTACCATGCTACGCGGCGGGGAGAGGTTCTCGCTGAGGAGGGGCTTGAGGGTGGGGTTTGGCGACTGCGGTTGTTGGATACGACGAGGATTCCGGCCGAGGATGTTGCGTCGAAGGTATCCGAGTACCGCTTTCTGGTGCTAGCGAGCTGTATGCATGCCGGGACGAGGCTTGTACGGGTTACGTGCAAGTACGAAGATGGGGCTCCGAATTGGGGGATTGAGGTTCTGGCAAAGTTTACTGAACATGAGAGTATGAATTATGCTAGTGGCGTGTGGGAGGGTGGACAAGATACTACTGAGATATTGTGTGTCTCGAGCAGTTTCTATGATCGCAGGCTCTGTGTCTGGACTGTTGATCTATAGTCAAATAAAAAGCCATGCCAAATTGGGAAGGCCATCTAGACGCTGAGACCGTACCGTATACAGGTCCCGGTTTGTCGACTACTAAAATGCTACTGGAGATTCGTAAGCCGAAATTATTCTAACATGATTGTAGTCATGAACACGCTAGAGAAAACACGATGCATAAGCGACAGGTATACAAGTACAGCCGCGCCCGAAGACAATAAAAGAGTCATTCATATCCGAAGAAAGTATATCGTTCCCATTGAGCGTGTAATTAGACAATAGTCTCCAGCTCGCGAGCATAACCCAAAGCATTCTCAATAACGGTACCGCTAGCCACCAGAATATCCCGCTCAGACCTAGCAGTCGCCTCGGGCTCAACAGGGAAGTATATCCGACCGTCGCGGAGGATCCAGCCGCGCTGCTTGGCAAATTCGATCACTGCACCCTCAGACTCGAGGAAGAGGAGGTTCTTGGCGTTGGAAATGGGGAGGGAGGGGTATGCCTTCTCTGAGCAACCTGCGATTTCATTGCGGATAGTACCGATGAGAACCTATAAAGCTCATGATCAGTATGCTTGCCGACAGAGACATTGAGCTCGAGCTGAGCACGCATGCAACTTACATTCGAAAACAGACCAAAGTCTTCCGACGGAACACGTTCGGACTTCGTCTCCCTCCACACCTTGTCATAGCTTCCCTCCATCAAGTTGCGCTCCAGCTCAACGGGATACTTGATGCACGCATCATCCTCAACACTGCCACCCTTCAAGCACGCCTCTTCTACCAATCCCTCTAGCACTGTGTGGAAGTTGGCACTGTCGCCCATGCTCAAAAGAAGAAGCAGATACAGCCCCGTAATCTTGCTGCGTTGGCTAGTGCTGAAGTCGAGTTCCGAAGAGCCCTGCCCGGGCAGACCGGCATGTCTCTCAAGATCGTAGAATGGCTGCAGTTGCTGGTAGTACCGTGTGAATAGCTGCGCGTCAGTCTGGCGGATGGAGGCGAGTGCTCCGAGTTCGAGGACTTGGCGGGCAAGGACGACAAGCTGGGGAGGTGTGGAGGAAGTCGGAATCAAAGCATTTTGCATAAGGAGAGCTCGCTTGGAACGGCTGAGGAGGTCGTTGGCGACGTCGAACTGTTTGCGCTCGATAGCACCGTGGAGCTCTGACACAAGGGACTGTAGATCGGACATGATGGAGGTTGTGTGGGTTCAGGGCAATACCGAAAGGGAATAAGGCAGCCTAGCCGGTGTATGGCAAAGGCAGTAATTAAAGCAGCGGAAACGATAGAGAATTTGGATTTTGATTGATGATTGTTGGCGACATTCCGATGCTCATGACGGAGCTGTGGTAGGCGGTCAGCGTGCAGTCACGTGCGGGCATTTTGATAGTCGCCGATGTTGACTTCTACTACTACCACCACAAGCCAGGCTATATAATATTTGTTATTGGATTGAACCAAAAGATGGCCCAGTATTTTGGCAGCTATATATACTATTCAAATTGATGTCTACGCATGGTCATCCGACAATGCGTGTCCCGGGTGGCATACGGATGTTTTAGCCTAGCTAGAACAGGTATGGCGCAATTCAAGCTTAGGTATCCAGGAAAACAGCAAAAGGTAATAGGTAATAGGTATATGCATATCAACTCGATAGAAGTCTAAGAAGGTAATTCGTCACTCATCGCAGGCCCAGTGAGCCCGGCAAACCGAGTGATACAACGAACGTCATAGAATGCAGTGACAAAACTTCTGATATATATATCAATAGCCCATCGAGAGAGACCGCCTGTATATGTACTACTTATGTACTAATACCTAAAGCATACATCAAATTTATACTCGGTACAAGGTGATATGCTCCTGTTTGACTCCCTGGGAATTAGAGACCGGAAACTATCAGGATCCAGCTATAAGGAGACTCTATCAATCTAACTTCGTGAACAGTCTCATACTTGTCCGACCGAACAAAACCTTACGTTGTAATGGTTTCAGGCTAGTGCTCCCACTGTATCACCCCCAAATGGAGTATGATCAGCCCTCAGGGCTCGGAGCTTCTCACTCTTTGTCAATCTAGTAATAGAAAATAATCAAAACAAACCATCCCATGTGGCATCCTCGATTTTAGGAACTTGCTATCTCTAGTCTTTCTCCAAACATCCTTGAAGGGTAACATATATATTTGGTACAGTACGAAAAGACGAAGTATAAAGTCAAGTTGATGCCTTGTAGCCTGAAATCCACCCGGATCATCTGATTTCCGACCTCCGTGCGATGCGGGATGATCGACGTCACAGTGAAGCGCAGTGAGTATCGCGTCAATCTGACTTCAAAATAAGAAAAATTATATTGGATACTGTGGGATTGACTTTAATACAGCTCGACTTCTCGGATATCCGAACTTATTCTAGATTTTGCGCCCAAGGTGATTTAAATAAATATTTGGATGTGGGGAAATACAGAGTGCCAATCATCTATCGCAAACAAGCTCGCCAGAATTCATTTAGCTTCAATATCGTGCGGGGTGGTATGATCAACTCAGATCAAATCGACGTCATTGTTACATTCCCACGTATCTCACAGAGCCTCGACCTTCCCCAGTCTTTCATCTCCGCTTTCAATCCTGAACCAACATTTTGCATACGCCATGGCTGAAGCAGAAACACAACCACGTCGACTGTCGGCAGATAACCAATCAGTTTCGAAAGCCGATGTTTCTATGAAGGAACGCTTCTTCCGCTACTTCCAGCATGAGATCACCGGTATGTTCCCGTTGGTATTCAGGCGCTACATCATTATCAAGCCACACATCTTTAAAAGCCCCTTGCTAATGACATTCTTCTAGATTTGCAGCAGGAGATGGATCGGCTTGCAGATACGTCTCTCGTGGGTGGTGAACGTGCCGATGCAACAGACCACTGCCTTGCCGGGATCGTACGGTTATCCAATGAGGTCAAGGATGCAGCGAGCTATATCCCCACTTATGATCAGAGGGTGTACGCAGAGGTAAACACGACTCACAATATACCCGATAGAGCAGAGCTGACATATTTACAGGCAATCAAGGCTTTGCAGGATCGATTGAGCGAAATACGTGCAACATTCGAGCCCCGGTCAAAGTTTAGCTTCAAGAACAAGAAAAATACCTCTGCTGTATCTTTGTCTGATGCTGCCGTGCTGGCAGGTGAAGGACGGCTCAGCATCCCTGGGTACCACTCTCCGGGTGCCTCGTCTGTTGACTCGTCCGCGAACCACACACCCAACTATCCTTCCACCCCACTGAACGAGCCAGACAAGCAGCAACAAGAGCGACCGGAGCTTGCGCCCACTTCATTCCCAGGTGGCCCGGTCGGGGACTTTACCACAAATTCCCACTCGGAGAATCCTCCCACTAGTGCCTTTGCGGCCACCGGCATATCCTCTGTGTCGGTCGATGACCATTATGGACTTCATATTATGCTTCCGGCCTCTGGGTCGTCACCCACAGTCCCGGTATCAATCACCTCCTTGAATCGCTGCATCGTGGATATGTCTATTCCCACTGCCAACGGAAAGCCATATGCCAGTCTGACTGCCAAAGGGATCAAAGAAAGCTTATTGATCTGTGGTCAAGTCAATGGCCCCGCACACATCACCGGTGTTAAGAATAGCGTGATCGTGGTCTCATGTCGCCAGTTCCGCATGCACGACTGCAGCGACGTTGATGTCTATCTCAGCTGTTCTAGCAACCCCATTATCGAGGACTGTTCCAATATTCGGTTTGGTCGGATCCCGAAGGCCTATGTCAGTTTTCTCCTCGTGGCTATATATTCTCTTGGGTATTTTACTTACATTCTTCTATCTAGGCCTTGAGGCATGACCGTCCCGATCACGAAGACCGTTGGAGCCAGGTCGAAGATTTCAAATGGATTAAGCAGGAGCCTAGTCCAAACTGGAGGCTACTCGACCCCAACGATGCCGTTCCCGAAGAGGTCTGGGCAGAGATTGTTCCCGGCGGGCCGGGATGGTCTCTCGAGGACATCTTGCATGCCATTAATGTAGTCCCAAACTAGTTTTATCCGCTTGATCGTTCCATGTCTTACTTCCTACTTGAATGGACATGTTCCTATAGGACGCATCCTCGATATCAATTGTCATCATGCGCTCACGAGATTGATTACGCCATTTCTACTTCGAATAATTTTAAGTTCTACTCTTTTATTTTTTATGCCACCATTATCAATTACGATTTTTGCAATTATTTGAATTTGGGGAAAGATTCAAGGTTATTGCGTTACTTCAGCCATGTACTTGTAGACTCAGCTATATATCTGTAACTACAGACAGAAATATACGAGATTGACGAAGGAGCATATACTGACTTGAGTGTAATGTACAATCTCTCATTTAGTGGGAGAGGAATATATATTTTCGGCGCCTATGCAGCCTAATAGTCCGACAGTATGAAACGTTTTTCAAGCTAACATTAAGCTGGCCTTTTGGATGTCGTTTATAGCCCGGAGGATGAAGATAATTGGCAAATTACAGAATAAGACATAAAATGCCTTTCCAGGTTTAAATGTGATCAATAACATTACTTTTGAGAGATAGACTAGGTCACTGTTTGTGATCTGCAAAAGTTCAAGGATTACGCGTTCCAAGTTGTGGGCACTTTGGGGTAATTCTTCGCGTGGTAGCCCAGGTCTTCATAGACGGTTGCATCTCCTAGGATTCAGGTCAATCTCAGGATCAACAGAAAATTAACGTAGCAACATACCTTGGAGGGAATCAACCCGGTGCTCGTCTTCGTCTGCCATTTTCTCCAATTCCTGACCAGGCTCTTCCTCCTTAGGCTGTTTATCACCCATAGAAGACGCAGCCTTGCCAAGGTCATTCTGCGCCGAGCCGATCATGAGGAATTGAGAATAAGGATAGTCCAGGAACTCTGGCTGCAGAGGCACCCATCGGAGATCTCCGAATTTCTCAAGTACCCTAACGAGAACAATGTTAATATGAGAATATTAGAATCACTCCATGGAAGACAGCTTACGATGGAGGGAATTCTGGATTCTTTGGTAATTGACCAACTGGTGGACCAGGGAACTTGGGACTCTTCGACTGAACGATCCAACTTCCCCGTTCTTGCAGGCCGAAGTCCTCCTGGACATCACCCAACTCGGCCGGGATGGTCAGGATATAGGCGAGATGGGATGCCCGCGGTGCGGAGGTGATCGCGTAGACACCTTCCGCGTAGGGTCTGGCTGCCTCGGTATGACGTTCACCTCGAGTGGAAGTCTGGTATGTTTTACCAGCAATGAAATTATCATGGAGAGCTTGCATGGATTGTCCAGCCTTCTCCACAAATCCCATTTCTCGTTCTCTGGAAGAGGTCGGAAACTTTTTTTTCGGGAGTATCATCAACCGACACGAGGCGTCTTTTTCGACGGAGCCTTGGCCGTGGTCGAATTCCGCTCCAAGGGCGGTTGGACGGAGGACAAAGAAGCTCCGGGCGACATCGCCGAAACTTTCAGGCTCGTCTACATCGACGCGTGGGCGGAAGAAGAAGTAGATGAAGCCTTTTTCGAGGATGTTGGAGGGTATTAAGTTTTCCCTCTCCTCGGACTTATGAAGACCTCCCTCAATTCCTTGCGGTTTCTCCGGATGGCTTTCGACTGGTTTCACCGTCGATGCTTGTCCTTCGGGTGGTTCTTCTGTCTTGACAGGTGCTTCCTCTGTCTTCTGCACTGGACGATCTACCGATGTACCCGGTACTTCCTCCTTTTTCAATTCGTCTGGCTTTATATCCTCCGTTTTCTCCTTTTTCGGCTGTGGAGCTTCATCGCCGGAAGCTCTCCGCTTTGTTCCCTTGGAAGTCTTGCCGGTCGGCTCGGCGGAAGTTGAAATGGCTTCCTTGGCCTTCTGAGCAGCGTGGCGTGAAGATGTTCGTGTAGCCATGATGAATGGTGGATTTTGTGGACGATGGTAAAGATCAAATCTGATGAAGCAATGGGATTTAGCCCTAGGGCTGTAATGAGATACACATGACGTCATGTCGTACGTTACAAATCCGCATCCGTGACTTTGCTAGGAATGACCGCTCAGAATGCCATTATAATAGAATTTTCAGTCGATATCCATCTCATCGGCTATGGGCCAGTTGTTCATGGGGTCGTTGCCATTCAAGTCGATCGATGCTGTCTCCGAACCGGAGCTCTCATTCTCGTTGGCTTCCCGGAAAGCGCCAAATGAGTCTATGTCTTGAGCATGCCACTTTGGAATTTCGCTAAACCTTTGCCTTTTGGGACGATGCTCATGAACCTCGGGCTGGGTCTCGGCCGACGCATGTCCTTGTGCGAAAAACGGGTAGCACTGTTGTGTAGCGAGAGTGTTGTGGGCTGGCTTTCTCTTCTGTCCTCTCTTTCGCGCCGAAGGAATTGTATTGCTATTCGATCCATCGGGTTCGTAGCCCATGTCATTCAGGTAGTCTGTCAAGTCGCGCTGCCATCGTTCGAACCGATCCGGGAGGCATAGTCGATCTACCCTGGGTAGGCTGGTTTCTAACTCATCATCAGGCTCTTCAATATCGTAGGGCTTGATGACTCGAATTTCGTCACTGTCCTCGAGTGGATCCATGTCATGCGCAGGCGTTGAGGGTCCTGAGTCGTCCATACTCTGCTCCCTTTCCTTGGGCTGATGGTCTGCTGCAGCATCAGAAGTAAGGTCGGCGAAGTATTCAATGGGCTCCTTTAACTTGTCAGGACTCGTATCATTCATTGGAAGGTCTTCCATTATCTGATATCAAGTCTTGAACCCAAACGGCGTTGACATGTCAATCCGAGGTAGACGGTCAAGTTGCAAAAACCATAACTGAGCTCTCAAGGAAGGAATGATGGAGTATGTGACTGGAGAAATGTATGCTATTAAAAGATAAAGTACAATGAAGAGATCAGGAAAATCGCACCAGAATGGAACGCGCAAGAAAGCCATGGTCGCTATAACATCATGGCCTTCCAGATGCTTCTAACGTGGGGGTGATAGAGAACCGCATATATGTCCACTCGACGTTGAACTTTGGATGCCGGTTCGAAAAAAGAGAAACCATAATAGGAATTCAATATAATATGAGAATATATCACGATTCCACTTCGACCCTGATCTAAAAATAATCAAGTCTCTTTGGACAGCGTACAGCATAAAGATCGAGACCAGCTCCCCTGACCGCTCACCGCCCGGCAGCATGATTGGCCGATGTCATTCGCTTCCACAATAGAGTCCACGTTTAGTTAACTGCTACACCAACACCAGCTTCAAGTGTTTACCTTTCGCTCTTTTCTTTCTTTCAGGTGGATGCGGTGGTCGCCTCTGCCTTATATTGCTCTCTAGTGTGCGGAGCTTGCTACTTTACAGTGCGGCTCCGGCCAAATCTTCAAGATGCAGTCCTCCCCAAACATGCTCACCAAGGTACACCCCCTCGGGCATCTTAATGCGCCATCGAACAATGGGACTCAATTGAAGTTGCTAATCATTCTCTCACTTGTTTAGTTCGAGTCCAAATCCTCCAGAGCTAAAGGAATCGCGTTCCATCCCAAACGGTCAGTCAATCCCGCGGAGGGACACCTAACACCTCAAAGTGCTCAATCTGACCACAAAACAGACCATGGATTCTCGTCTCCCTTCACTCATCCACGATCCAACTGTGGGACTACCGCATGGGAACTCTTATCGACCGATTCGAAGAACACGATGGCCCGGTTCGCGGCGTTGACTTCCACCCAACCCAGCCCCTGTTTGTATCGGGAGGTGACGACTACAAGATCAAGGTCTGGAACTACCAGACTCGGAGGTGCTTGTTCACATTGAATGGCCACTTGGATTATGTGCGAACAGTTTTCTTCCACCCCGAGCTGCCCTGGATTCTGTCTGCGTCCGACGACCAGACCATCCGAATCTGGAACTGGCAAAATCGGTCACTCAGTAAGATGCATTGGAGCTACCTGCAATAACATCGACTAACACGTCTACTCTTTTTAGTCTGTACGATGACCGGTCACAACCATTATGTTATGTGCGCTCAGTTCCACCCCACCGAGGATCTCATTGCCTCGGCCTCGTTGGATCAGTCAGTTCGCATTTGGGATATCTCCGGCCTGCGGAAGAAGCACTCGGCCCCAACCTCGGTTTCGTTCGAAGATCAAATGGCAAGAGCCAACCCAAACCAAGCCGATATGTTCGGAAACACCGATGCAATCGTTAAGTTTGTGCTGGAAGGTCATGACCGTGGTGTTAACTGGGTCTCGTTTCACCCCACACTACCCTTGCTCGTGTCAGCCGGTGACGACCGGTTGGTTAAGCTCTGGCGCATGAGTGATACTAAGGCATGGGAAGTCGATACTTGCCGCGGCCATTTCCAGAATGCCTCCGCTGCTCTGTTCCACCCGCACCAAGACCTCATCCTTTCCGTCGGCGAAGATAAGACGATTCGCGCATGGGATCTCAACAAGCGTACATCCGTTCAGTCCTTTAAGCGCGACCTTGATCGATTCTGGGTTATTGCTGCCCACCCCGAGATGAACCTGTTTGCCGCGGGTCATGACACTGGTGTTATGGTCTTCAAGCTCGAGCGAGAGCGCCCTGCGTCTGCTATCTACCAGAACCAGCTGTTTTACATCACAAAGGATAAGCACGTCAAGTCATATGACTTCAGCAAGAACGTCGAGTCGCCGCCGTTGCTTTCGCTGCGCAAGCTGGGTTCCCCATGGGTCCCCCCACGTACCCTCTCTTACAACCCCGCTGAGCGTGCTATTTTGGTTACCACGCCCGCCGATAATGGAACTTATGAACTGATTCATCTCCCCAGAGATGGTACTGGGGCTGTTGAGCCTACAGATGTTAAACGTGGACAGGCTACTTCGGCAGTCTTCGTCGCCCGCAACCGCTTTGCCGTCTTCAGCCCCTCGACCCAACAGGTCGATATCAAGGATCTTAGCAACTCCACAACGAAGACAATCAAGCCCCCCAGCGGGCACGACCGATATCTACTTTGGTGGTACCGGATGCCTGCTCTTCATCACCCCTACACATGTTACTCTTTTCGACATTCAACAAAAGAAGCAGCTTGCAGAGCTTGCTGTCAGCGGGGTGAAGTACGTGGTGTGGTCTAACGATGGATTGTACTGCGCTTTGCTCAGTAAACACAACGTCACTATCGTGACCAAGACACTCGAGCAGGTTAGCACCTTGCACGAGACTATTCGCATCAAGAGTGCTACCTGGGATGACGCCGGTGTCCTGCTCTACTCCACCCTTAACCATGTGAAGTACTCCCTTCTCAACGGTGACAACGGTATTATCCGCACTCTCGACCAGACCGTGTACCTCGTTCGCGTCAAGGGACGCAATGTCTATGCTCTTGACCGCAACGCCCAGCCACGCATCTTGGAGATTGACCCGACTGAGTATCGTTTCAAGCTCGCCCTCGTGAAGCGAAATTACGACGAAATGCTTCAGATTATCAAGACCTCGAGTTTGGTTGGCCAGAGCATCATCTCTTACCTGCAGAAGAAAGGTTACCCGGAGATTGCTCTGCAATTCGTTCAAGACCCTCAGACCCGCTTTGACCTTGCCCTTGAATGTGGTAATCTCGAGGTCGCCAATGAGATGGCACGGGAGCTCGACCGTCCCAACTTCTGGACCAGGCTTGGAGCTGAGGCATTGGCTCATGGTAACCATCAGATCGTCGAAATGACTTACCAAAAGCAGCGTAGCTTCGACAAGCTCTCTTTCCTGTACCTCTCTACCGGTGACCAAGAGAAGCTTTCTCGTATGGCTAAGATCGCCGAACACCGTGGCGACTTCACCTCTCGTTTCCAAAACGCCATCTACCGTGGCGACGTTGAGGACCGCATCCAGATGTTCAAGGAAGTGGACTTGTGTATGTACAACCCTAGTGCCGATTTTTTTTTTTCATACTAATTCTCGCAGACCCTCTCGCCTATCTTACTGCCAAGTCAAATGGTCTGATTGAAGAGGCCGAGTCCATTTTGGAGGCGGTTGGTCTCACCGAAGATCAGATTGTCCTACCCACACTCGACCAACCTCTGAAGGTTCTCCACCCTATTGTACCCACTTTCAATTCCAACTGGCCCGTTAAGGCTGCCGGTCACTCCTCCTTCGAGAAGGCTCTTCTCGGAGAAGTTGGTGTCGTCGACGAGGAGGCTGGCGCTGTTGGATTCGAGATTGAGGAAGAGGAGCAAGAAGCTGCTGTTGCCCGGGAAACCCTCGATGATGACGAAGAGGCAGTTTCCGGATGGGATATGGGTGATGATGTTATTGTTGAGGAAGAAATCGACTTTGTCAATGTGGAAAGCGCCGAAGCTGGCGCGGGCAGTTCTGAGGCTGATTTGTGGGCTCGTAACTCCCCGCTGGCTGCTGATCACGTTGCCGCTGGCTCTTTCGACACTGCCATGCAGCTCTTGAACCGTCAAGTTGGTGCCGTTCAGTTCGCTCCTCTCAAGGCTCGCTTCCTCGAAGTTTACAAGGCGACTAAGACCTACCTCCCGGCGACTGCTGGTCTGCCGCCTTTGATCAACTACGTGCGCCGGACCATCGATGAGACTGACTCCCGGAAGATGCTTCCCATCATTCCCCGAGACCTAGAGACGGTTGCCAGTGTTGACCTACAAGAGGGTTATGCCGCTATGCGGTCCAACCGATTGGAGGAGGGCGTGGCAACCTTCAAACGTATTCTTCACACTGTTCTCGTTAACACCGTGTCATCCGAAGCCGATGTGGATGAAGCGAAGAAGATCATTGCCACTGCTCGGGAATACATTCTCGCCATGTCGATCGAGCTCGAGCGCCGTACTCTCTCCACCAACTCCCCTGAGGATCTCAAGCGCAGCCTTGAGTTGTCTGCCTACTTCACAATTCCCAAGCTCGAGGTCGCTCACCGACAACTAGCGTTGATGGCTGCCATGAAGTTGGCCTTTGCCAACAAGAACTACGGCTCAGCCTTGAGCTTTGCCAACCGAATGCTGGTTAATGGAGGCTCCGCTAAACTTTTGGAACAGGTAAGAATTCCTAAAATTGAATTTGCCACTTATAGTATCCCAATGCTAATTATGAAAAACAGGCCAAGAAGATCAAAGCTCAATGCGAACGAAATCCTCAGGACCAGATTGACATTGACTTCGACCCCTTCGCCGAGTTCGATATCTGCGCTGCGTCCTTTACCCCTATCTATAGCGGCTCTCCCAGTGTCTCAGACCCCTTCACCGGCGCCAAATACCACCCCCAATACAAGGGAAGTGTCGACCGGATATCGGAGGTTACGGAGATTGGTGCCCCGGCCAGCGGCCTACGCCTGTTCGTCCCCAGTCAGTTTTAATTGCCGCATGACGAAGCATAACGGTTTTTTGCCTTTTTTCTCTTCTTGAAATGAAGTTACAAAATGGGTACATTTTCATCTGCACGAGGAGAAGTTGTGTTTGGTGGCGCTTTTCATTTTTTTTTCGGCTGGGAGAAAGACAAAACTTCCTGCACACAGTACCAGTCCCCTTGTCTAGATGTCTTTTTGTATCCAAGATTATAATTGCTTAGCGATCTAGTTTGTATGCGAACATGTTTTGTCCAAAAGCTCTATCTCCTAGGCACCCAAAGGTCTTGTCTTCACCTGGTATCTATGTCTTACCTGCTTAGTAGTGATAAAAGTAATCCGTCTTGATTTGCCAAATATGCATATCTAATGTACAAGGGAGATCTAAATCGAAGAGTAGAGAGAAGACCACTCCAACAAAAACACCATAAACATACAGTTCAATTACACCGACCATCTTTCCACCCAGTCCGCCACCTCTCCTCCCACAATCGACAATCAAACTCCTTCTTCCCAAGCTTCCGATTAACCTCATTATGCGCCTCGCACATCCACCACCCAAACTCCTTCCGGCTCTCCAGTCTCGGCTGATTCCGCCCACTCGGATGCGCCATCCATCTCTGGAAATCATCCGCGCACACCCAGCACGGGTACAGCTTTGAGAAGAACTTCAAGAACCCGCCCATATTAGCCTGGTGTTCCGTATCTGCCTTTTCAGGGTATGTGGCTGCCATCGAGTGCAATAGTGTCCATGTTGAGCGACCTAGCTCTTCGACGTCTGGCGGGCAGTCTGAGGGAATTTCGCTCGGAGAGGGAGTTGCAGCGGCGGCCAGAGCTGGCGTTGAGGTCGTCATTTTGCCTGTGTTTGAATTGGGGGATGGGGTAGTGTTGGAGTTTGCATTTTTGAGTTCGGCTTGCTTTGTCAATGCTCGCCATGAGGCGACGGAGGTGCAGGTGCGGCAGCTGTAAGGTGGGTATATTAGCGCCGACCTCGGTTACCGCTAGTCGTAGATACGTACGGCTTTCCATCTTTGTCCAGGACTACACCCTTGGGCAATGGCGCGGCTTTCGAGTCATCGTCTCCGGCTGGCTTGGAGGAGCTTGCGGAGTTCGCGGGGGTTTGCTGGTTGAATATGGACCCTGCGCCTTTAAATTGACTACTGACTTCCGGTGGAGCCGATGACATTTTTCACTTGTAAATATTTGATTCCCTCGACAAATCGGTGATTTGGAGTGGTGAAAGTGATTCGAGGTTGATTTATAATGGATTGCGGAGGATCACCGGAGGCGAGAAAGAGGTAATAGTGATGGATATTTGGCGCAACAGTTAGTAAAGAGAACTTGAAATAAGTGAGCAAGATCCTTAGAATCAATGAGCTTTGAATATGTAAATCCAGAAGCTGAGCCTTTGAGCAAGAGTCTCAAATGACATACATACAAGTCAAATGTCACGCCGATCAATCTCGATCCGGCTTTGTCATCCATTCACGCGCGCTCGCTCAACTCAGACGGCTCAAGTTCGCAGTTTGATTGAGATAAATAAATATCTTTCTTCTATTACTCTGCTCTTTGGTATTTATTTCCTCATATACCGTCCGAGGAACTGGACGATTGATACGAACTCACTCCTACACTATTAACCTCCTTTCAATCGCCATAGAGTGACATAAACATGCCGCCGAAGTATGCGCTGTCCGACTCTGAAGCTGAGGGTGAGGCACCCAGCACTCCCTCTGATCAGATTCTCGGGAAGACCCTTCGTGACCAAGTGGCTGCAATCTTCAAGGCGGGAAATTTGGAGGAATTGACCGTGAAGCGCGTGCGACTTGCTGCGGAAAATACACTAGGTCTCACAGCGGGGTACTTCAAGACTACAGGTGACTGGAAAGCGCGGAGTGAAGATATAATCAAGGACGAGGTGGTGAGTCTTGTTTGCATTTGCAGTGCTTCTTTAGCTTGCGCAGCTTCAGAGGAAAGGCACTGATTGCGATGCTTTACAGGGAATACAAGATCAGGCAATACTAGATCCACAATCACAAACCCCTTCTCCCTCGAAGGCCAAGCCTACTACCCTTGCGAAGCGAGCAAAATCCGAGACCGCAACAAAGCCTAGGAAGCGCCAGAAGACTAAGATGCCGGTATCCGATGAGGAAGATGAGCTACCGGCCCCGCCATCCGAGACTCATGAGGTCACAAAGCCCAAGAATCGATCGAAGGCACCTATAAAAAAGGCACCCGGGAAGAAGGTCTCTGTACAAAAACACAAGGACATGTCAGACGCTTCTGATTTCTCCGGTGATGAGAGTGACGATGTCACAAAGCCGAATAAACGATCGAGCACGCCAGTGACAAAGTCCCCTTTGAAGCAGTCGCCAGTGAAGAAGTCGCCAGCAAAGAAAGCCTCCGTACCAAAACCCACAAAAGATGTATCAGATATTCCCGATGACGCTTTGAATGCCACCAACCCGAACAAAGATACCAAGGATGATTCGGAAAGCGAGATGTCGGTGGTGCTTGACGAAGAGCCCCAGCCTAAGGCCCCACGCAAGCGACAGAAAAGTGCCGGAGAAACTGCAACCAAGACGAAGAAGAAAGCCACCAAAGCCACCAAAGCCAAGGAGGAGGATATTAGCCCGGACCAGGCTGAAATCAAACGACTGCAAGGGTGGCTCGTCAAATGCGGGATCCGTAAGCTTTGGGGTAAAGAGCTGGCGCCATATGACACCCCTAACGCCAAAATCAAGCATCTCAAGGGGATGCTTCAGGATGCTGGAATGACTGGCCGGCCATCTCAAGAAAAGGCAAACCAGATCCGCGAAGAACGGGAGCTGAAAGCGGATTTAGAGCAGATCCAGCAAGGCGCAAAACAATGGGGTGCTGTGAGTGACGAGGATAATGATGAGGAGGCGAAGCCTCGGCGTAGGCTGGGCCGGGGACGACAGTCGCTTGCGTTCTTAGAGAGTGAGGGCGAAGAGACTGATTGATGGATAGCATGGGGTCCGTAATGAATGAATTTGTCGGACCGATGAGCTGCCATGAAATCGGATGATGCGTTCTATCACTTTGTATTTCATACTTCATAGTTCATAATGTCCAAATATATAGCAATAGGAGTCTCCCTCATCACCCGACTTTCGGTCTACTCATGCGCTGCGCAGTCAGGCTGAAGATGGCAACAGAAGAGATGAAGAGGACGAGATTGTAAAACTAAACTTGTTAGCATGATCAAATCAACTCGAGGGGTCCAATGACATACAGCTTTTCGCGAGTACTCGTTCTCCTCCGCCTCGGTTCTAGCCTCGACAAAGAGGCGTCGCAAGTTAGGGAGGTTAGCCTGCAGAAGTGTTAGTCTTTGTAGTTGGATAGTTTGACTGATGTAGAATAAATACCATTTACACCGTGATGGTCTGGACTAATGGCAAAATAAATGAAAGGGAGAGTTAATGGCCATAGAGCGGGAGAGTCCAGAAGCCACCATTTGTGGACAACTTTGATCGTCCGAAACACCCTTTCTCTCCTTCGCCCCCATTCCTCCTCGAAATCTACCCACCCCGGATTGTTCACGCACCTCTCTGTGTTTGCGGACAAAGTGACGAACAATCTCGACAGATTCCATTCCCTGACCTCGCGCGACCGTGAAGCTCCCAATCCCCCGCAGTCGCCAAACGCTGCTCGAATCCCACCCCAATCCCATATCTCTAGGCGGAGGCACGACCTAGTCGTTGCTGAAGCTTATACATCCTCGCCATGGCGATGAACAAGATCCGCGGCGCCTTTGCGGTGCCTCGGAAAGGAGAGACATTTGAATTGCGAGCTGGACTTGTGTATGCGGCCCCCTCCACCATGCGCTGGCCACCTTGCCATGGCGAATGATGGATGATATTAACTATTATGACAGTTCCCAGTATGCGTATGAACGGTATGTATGGCAGTGAATCCTCAGTCTGGCCTGGTAGTATATGGCGAAGACGTGGTTTGGCTGACAATGCAACAGGAAGGAATCCATTCAGAAGACAATCATGGCCATGACCCTAGGAAAGGATGTTTCGGCCCTGTTCCCGGATGTTCTCAAAAACATTGCTACGTCCGATCTCGAGCAGAAGAAATTGGTCTATCTCTATCTCATGTGGGTACCACCGTACAACTCAGGGTGGCTACGTATGCTGATCGGTCGAATCTCACTTTCAGGAACTACGCCAAATCGCACCCTGATCTATGTATTCTCGCCGTGAACACTTTCGTGCAAGATTCGGAAGACCCCAACCCACTGATTCGTGCGCTGGCAATCCGGACAATGGGTTGTATTCGGGTGGAGAAGATGGTGGACTACATGGAAGAACCGCTGCGCAAGACCCTCCGAGACGAGTCGCCCTATGTTCGCAAGACCGCTGCAATCTGTGTCGCCAAGCTTTTCGATCTGAACCCGACAATGGCCATCGAGAACGGGTTCTTGGAGATGCTTCAGGAGATGATTGGAGACCCCAACCCCATGGTCGTCGCCAATTCGGTGACCGCACTTCAGGAGATTCAGCACACAGCACCCGAGACACACGCTCTACAGATTACCGGTAACACTCTGCGGAAGATGCTGATGGCTTTGAACGAGTGTACGGAATGGGGGCGCGTGACTATTCTCTCAACTTTGGCCGAGTATAAGACTACCGACGTGAAAGAGTCGGAGCACATTTGTGAACGAGTCGCTCCTCAGTTCCAGCATGTTAATGCCGGTGTGGTTCTTGCGGCAGTCAAGGCAGTGTTTTTACATATGAAGAACGTCAACCCTGACTTGTCGAAGACCTACCTAAAGAAGATGGCTCCGCCGTTGGGTATGCTCGCTCGCTGCTCTCATTACATTTCTTTTTTACTAATTCGATATAGTTACATTGGTTTCATCAGCCCCCGAAGTGCAATACGTTGCATTAAGAAATATCGACCTTATTTTGCAAAAGGAGCCTGACATTCTCAACAAAGAGCTCCGCGTTTTCTTCTGCAAATACAATGACCCCCAATATGTCAAGTTCCAGAAACTTGAGATCATGGTACGCATAGCGAACGATCGCAATGTGGACCAGCTCCTGGCTGAATTGAAGGAATATGCCCTTGAAGTCGATATGGACTTTGTCCGCCGAGCTGTCAGGGCAATCGGCCAGGTTGCCATCAAGATTGAGAGCGCCAGTGAGCGTTGCGTTAACACGTTGTTGGATCTCATTAACACCAAGGTGAACTACGTCGTTCAGGAAGCGATTGTTGTCATCAAGGACATCTTCCGGAAATACCCTGGCTACGAAGGTATCATCCCGACTCTATGCCAGTGCATTGATGAGTTGGATGAGCCCAATGCTAGAGCGGCACTCATCTGGATTGTTGGAGAGTATGCCGAGAAGATTAGCAACGCGGGTGATATCTTGAGTGGCTTTGTAGATGGTTTCAACGAAGAATTCTCTTCGGTTTGTTCTTCCCTCCTGGTATATGCTACCACCTCGACTAACCTATCTAGACACAATTGCAAATCCTCACAGCTGTGGTCAAACTCTTCCTCAAGCGGCCCGAGAAGGCACAGGGCCTGGTGCAGCGGGTACTCCAGGCTGCGACATCCGAGAACGATAATCCCGATGTCCGTGACCGAGCGTATATCTACTGGCGTCTTCTTTCCAATACCAGCGATCCAAACGCGACAAAGAACATCGTGCTCTCGGACAAGCCCCCTATCGTCACCACGATACATTCACTGCCACCGGCGCTCCTCGACCAACTCCTTTCCGAACTGTCTACTCTCTCTTCCGTCTATCACAAGCCCCCCGAGCAGTTTGTCGGCCACGGCCGATTCGGCGCTGATGCTGTCATGCGCGCTGCTATCGAGTACGTATTCAATCCCCTGTGTTCTTCGAACATGTCGCTAACCACTCCTCAGGGAACAAATCCAAAACGCGCGCGAGAACCCATTGGCCGCGGCTGCTGCCGCTGCCGCTGGCGGCACCGCAGGCCCCGCACAGTCGCAAAACAACGTCGAGAACTTGCTGGACATCGATTTCGACGGCGGTGCTCCTGCCTCCGCACAAACCGAGCCATCCGGCGGTCTGTCTGGCCTGGAGGGTCTGGCTGGTACCCCCGTACGTGTAGCGTCCCCTACAGCTGGTACCCCGACAGCCCAAACAAGCAACAACCTGGATGATCTCCTGGGCGTGTTTGGAGACTCTGGTGCTGCTCAGCCCTCATCGAGCGGTGCCAACAGCAGTGATATCATGAACGGTTTCTCTGGTCTTGGTCTCTCTGGTAATGCGGGTCCTTCTTCAAACAACCAGACTAAGAAATCCAACGACGACATCTTGTCACTCTTCTAGAGCAATGACAGTGATGATATAGCCAAGTGTGTTTAGCCCACCTTACTGGTTGATGTTATTTCGGGTGTTTTCGCAAGCGAGCATCTGAATTGAACGAGATAGATTGTTTTCTTTTAGTTGTTTAATTTTGCTTGCATCTTTACCGGATTTCAAAAGGCCTGTACATTTCTGCCCCGAATATCAATTTCTTTATGAGTTTTTGGCAAAGCTGCCCTCATAGAATAGCATTTACCGAACATCCCTTGTAGTGGAGAGATAGGCCAGCGAGATGCAAATAGCCTCCTGCTTTTTCTCGGCCGATGCAAGCCACAACTCCACCGCGTGCGAAAAATAGGAAAAAAACCTCATCCCTGCGCTTTGACCCCACAAATCTCTGACATCTGTGCATGAAGTATATCGTCCAATGTATCACAGCAGACTCTGTCTATGCAGGAGATATGTACTATGCAGATGCTGCTATGCTAGCTCAACTTATCTCCCCTACTCCACCTAGATAGACATCACACACGTTATGGGCCCTTCAAATTGCGAATTCACACAAAACGGATCCATCGGATAAGAACGCGGCTTACCAATTAGTGATTATACCGAGGTTTTTCCTTTCCAGTGTCAAACGCCGAGTTGGAATCGGGGTTCGGACCTGTCCCGCGTCCAAGAGTATAAATGGGGCAAAGCTCCCGGAAAAGTTGTGCACGGTGAACACTTTCAATCGGACAACATGGCGGAAACAGACTACAAATTCGAGGGCTGGATGGGTCTCGACCCTAGTGCCGGCGAGGGCAAGATGGTCTGGCAAGAATTCGAGCCAAAACAATGGGAGGAAACCGATGTTGATATCAAAGTGTCTCACTGCGGCATTTGTGGCTCTGATTTACACACTCTCCGGAGTGGCTGGGTATGTTTTATGTTTTCCGTACAGACGCAGCGTTGTGCAATATCTGTATAAAAAAGTATTAAAAAAACCAGCAAACTAACATTCCACAGAGACCTACTGCCTACCCCTGCTGCGTAGGCCACGAAATTGTCGGCACGGCCGTGCGCGTGGGTAGCAAGGTATCCAACATCAAGCTCGGCGACCGCGTCGGTGTCGGCGCGCAGAGCGAGTCCTGCCTTGGCCGTCTCGGCGACTGCGAGGAGTGCGCATCAGGCCTGGAGAACTACTGCTGCAAGAAAGTCGTCGGCACGTACAACAGCGTCCACTACGACGGCAGCAAGTCGTACGGTGGGTATGCCCGGTACCACCGTGTGCCTGGCCACTTCGCCATCAAGATCCCCGATGCCATCTCGTCGGCTGATGCTGCGCCCATGCTGTGCGGCGGTGCCACCCTCTACAGCCCGCTGAAGCACAACAACTGTGGTCCTGGCAAGCGCGTGGGCATCATTGGTGTTGGAGGACTGGGTCACTTTGGCTTGCTGTTTGCTAAGGCTATGGGGGCTGATCAGGTTGTTGCTATCTCCCGGAAGCTGGCTAAGAAGGAGGATTCGCTGAAGATGGGCGCGGATCTTTATATTGCGACTGATGATGAGCCGGACTGGGCTACGACTCATGCTCGGTCTTTGGATTTGATTGTTTCGACTGTCTCGTCTACTAAGATGCCGTTTAACGACTACCTGGGTCTGCTGAAGACTGCTGGGTCTTTTGTGCAGGTTGGTCTTCCTGAGGATGGTGGACTGTTCGCTCCTGTTCGGAGCTTGATGCGTCGCCTGAAGCTGCAAAGCTCCCTCGTTGGTAGCCCCAACGAGATCCGGGAGATGTTTGAGCTTGCTGCTGAAAAGGGAATCCGCCCGTGGGTGGAGGTCATCCCAATGAAGGATGCGAATAAGGCGATTGTAGATATGGATGATGGAAAGGCCCGCTATAGATACGTGCTTGCTAATGAGTAAGAGCTTGTAATTAGACAGCTAGAATAGACGAGAGATGTGCCCACGAATGAAGATCGAAGTGTTAAAAGTATAGCCGTCTGGTGTATCTGTATAGATTGGTCTACATTAGGGCCAATCAAATCACGCACGTGAGCGCCGTTCTCGGAGGCGCTATTCCATTTTGGGAACTCAGATTTCCCCCGCGGTGGAATGAATCATTCCGCCTCTTCTTCTCTACTTCGGCTTCAAAGAATTTCTGTCTGAGTCAATTGACGGTCGCATCATGTCTCCTACACTATCACAACAGTATTTAAGTACCCGCGGTGCTGAGTACGGGGTGAGTTGGAAAATAACAGTTCCAAGTTTCATTGCAAACATGTTACTCACCAATCTGTCTGTCTCTCTAGAGAACCTTTGAAGATGTTGTTCTTCAAGGCCTGGCCTCGGACGGTGGTCTCTTCATCCCCGAGGAAATCCCTGCTCTCCCTAAATCATGGGAGACCGAATGGCGCGATCTGAGCTTTGAGGATTTGGCGCTCGAAATCATGTCGCTCTATATCTCTACGGACGAGATTCCCCGAGAAGATCTCAAGAGCATTATCTATAAGTCCTACTCGACTTTCCGACACCCCGAGCGCACTCCATCCGTCCTCCTCGAAAAGAACCTCTACTTGCTCGAGCTATTCCACGGCCCGACCTTTGCGTTCAAGGATGTTGCGCTAAGTTTCCTCGGAAACCTGTTCGAGTATTTCCTTGTTCGAAAGAATGCTGGAAAGACTGGCAAGGACAGGCACCACCTTACCGTTGTCGGTGCTACTAGCGGCGACACTGGTTCGGCTGCTATCTATGGTCTTCGCGGCAAGAAAGACGTCTCGGTCTTCATTCTCTTCCCCGATGGCGGCCGAGTCTCGCCTATCCAAGAGAAGCAAATGACAACTATCTTGGATCCTAACGTCCACACCCTCACCGTGGCGGGCTCCTTCGACCACTGCCAGGATATCGTCAAGGCGCTGTTCGCCGATGCGGACCTTAACTCCACCCACAACATCGCCGCGGTCAACAGCATCAACATGGCCAGAATCTTAGCCCAGATAACCTACTTCTTCTACTCCTACTTCTCCCTAACCAAAACCCCCTCGTTCACCAAGGAATCCAGCGTGCGCGTGGTCGTCCCGTCCGGCAACTTCGGCGACATCCTTGCCGGTTGGTTCGCTAAGCAGATGGGTCTCCCCATCGAGAAACTGGTGATTGCCACCAACGAGAACGACATTCTCGATCGCTTCTTCCGCAGCGGCGGCCACTACACAAAGAAGGCCCTCGACGCGCCCACCGACCACGGCGTGAAGGAAACCTACAGCCCAGCCATGGACATCCTCGTCAGCAGCAACTTCGAGCGCCTCCTATGGTTCCTGTCATACAAAACCTCCAGCGGCAACGAAGCCGAGCGCCGCAAGATCGCCTGCGAAAACGTCAGCGGGTGGCTGAACGAGCTCAAGACCAACGGCGGCTTCCAAGTCCCCAGCGCCGTCCTCGAAGCCGCCAAGGTCGATTTCGAGAGTGAGCGCGTCAGCAACGACGAGACCATCGCTATGATCCGTGATATCTACAAGACCTCTTTCCCTAAAGGTCTTGGTCCCGGCTCCGCCAAGAGCTCCAAGACCGGGGGTTACATCCTCGACCCCCACACTGCTGTTGGTGTTGCTGCTACGCGCCGCTCATTGGCGCGCAACCCTGAGGCTATCCATATCTCTCTGTCCACTGCCCACCCGGCTAAGTTTGCCAGCGCTGTGGACCTTGCTCTGCGTTCCGAAGATGGTTACAACTTCACGGAGATCTTGCCCCAGGAGTTCATTGGTTTGGAGCAGCGTGAGAGTCGGGTAACCCCTGTCGGCGAGAGTGCTGGGTGGCAGGGTGTTAAGGAGATTGTCAAGGCGGAGCTTGAACAGGAGTTGCAGGGTTTGCGATAGATCCGGACTTGGCAAGAGAAATAACGTGTTATGAAATTCACCGAGTTGGTGAGATTCAACGGGAGGAGCACGTGTATGCTGAGAAAATCTTTTGTTGTAGTATACACATGTTGGAAACGTTTTCACTGTTTCCTCCCTTCTATTAAAATATATTTCCGGTTTTTTTTACACCTATAATCTGAGGGCTTGTTGAATCGATACTGAAAATGACTGCTCAGATCGGACGAGTAGTTATGTTATCCTAAGTATTAGTACTATTGATGCCGGATAATGCCTGAAGAGATGAAGCTATTCAGAGATCACATGATCTGTCAATATCGGCGTTATTCATCAAGTGGGATGACCGGTGGAACTTCATTGGTGACTTTCCTCGCCCCACCGGAGCTGTCATTACCTTCTCTTTTCCTTTCGCCTTCACTTTTGCCATTTCATTTGTGAAATCGAAAGGTTGGCAAAGATTCTGCACAATGCCACCTCCTGCCGATATTATCCCCTGGTTCCAATGTGGCTATCCAGATTGCAACGCTAAATACCGGCGTAAAGAGCACCTGAATCGACATCGTAATCATCATGATACGGAAATCAATCTCGCCTGTCCTTATTGTGAGAGTGTCCTGACCAGGAAGTGAGTAGTTTCTTCGATCCCGTGGGAAGACTCTCAACTTAGAGAGTAATCAGTGACCTGTTGCGACGCCATGTCCGAACTTACCATCCGCAAAGAGAACTGCCTCCGTCTCGAAAAGTTAGGGCATGTAGTGCATGTCATGCACGGAAAGTCCGTTGTGAAGGTGTATTACCATGCAATGCCTGTCAACATCGCGGCGTCCTCTGTGTGTCTACTGGGGGTGAAACCGTAAGCGACCAACAATTTTCGATCGATGATCTCTGCCCTTTGCCGCCTGTTTCCACGATTGATGATTCCGTTTCTGACGCTCCCCGGTGGATTGCTCATGACTATATTGATATTTACTTTAATACTTTCCATCCAAGATGGCCGTTTCTCCATCGAAGTACATTTGACTTCGCCAAGGAACCTTGTGTACTTGTTCAATCCGTTGTCGCAATCGGACTTTGGGTGAAAGGGACTCAGGAGGCACGAGACGCATCGATACGTCTACATAATCGACTATGTTCTGCATTTTACGCTCAAATGGTGAGAAGAAGAAGCATTATAACATTAACTGCATATAGAATTGTGTGTTGATATCGTCCTTTTGCTCTAGGACCAATGGTGCATCTCCAACTCGAGTTCACGCCAACACACATGGCCTATAACATCATTTCAAAGTGTGCTCATGAATATCATTCTTTCTCTTTTCATTGCAAGAGAAAATGCTAGTACAGATTTGAGCATGCGATTCCGATTACCAGACGACAAATACGACCTCTTGGCTGCGCTTGTTCAAAGCTGTCGAAAGTCGGGGATCTTCTACTACCCTAACATGCTTCTGCAACACGATGCCGATGCACCACTTGCGCTTGTATATGTGAGCGTTGAAGAGATCAAGAGATTTGGACTAGCCCTCTATAAGGTGTGCCGATTGTCCACTCCCACTTCCTTTGACTTGAGCGGGGAATGTTCCAATGGTGGCAGAAACGATCTTTTGACCCTGGCCGATTTGTCCTTTTGCATGCCAGACAGTGATGAGCTGTGGAATGCTCCATTGGGCGGGGAGTCCGAGGTGTTGAACAAGTCTGATTCATCCGCGGTCGGACGGGATAATGGAGATGCGAAAAACTGGATATCTCAAGCATCTAATCTTCTACATGACGCACGAGTTGGCTTTGATTGGATATAGCAGAACTATCATAGAATATGCGGCTATTTCGCCATATATCAAAATGCAGCCTATAAATGCAACGATCGAACATATTCCCTCACTATTTTCTTGACAAATACCTTTGTAATATTTTTTGTCAATAAACGTACATTGGACCTGCACCTTCGCCACCCCGAGGTCCACAGTCACCGATCTATGACCGGGTGGGATGGCCGTGAAGTGATCGGCCTGTCCAGGTGGGATGGCCGACCCGTTTCCCCGCAAAACCATAGGGTTTCTAAGCAAAGCGTAACGAAGTACATATAAACCGACTCTTCTTTTTAATATCGAGAGTTCCTACTGCAACACAATCCAATCCTCCATTTTCCAAAAACCTCTTTACTATACAATGGCTTCTACCGCTCAATCCTTCCGTGAGATCGTCGGGATTCCCCGCTCCTCAGCTTCCCCAAAGGACTCAACCCTCATCATTATCGACGCCCAGAACGAATACGCTACAGGCGCTCTCAAGACCGAAAACGTTACAGAAACCCGCAAATCCATTGTCAAACTACTGGAACGTTACCGTCAAGCCGGTAACGGCAAAAACATCGTGCACGTCGTCCACGAGGTGCCCGAAGGCGCACCCGTCTTCACGCCAAACACTCCCTTGGCACAAGAGTTTGAGGAACTCACCCCTAAAGCGGGCGAGAAAGTAGTCACCAAGAACTTTCCTAGCTCGTTCGCAAAGACCGATCTGCATGCCTATCTGCAAGGTCTAGGCGATGTAGGAAAGAAAGTCGTGTTGGTTGGCTATATGGCGCATGTCTGTGTCTCCACCACTACCCGAGCGGCTGCTGAGCTTGGATATGATGTGCTCGTCGTGAGGGATGCAGTTGGTGACAGGGATATCCCTGGTGTAAAGGCCGAGGATCTGGTGTCTGTTGTGTTGAGTGAGCTGGCGGATGGTTTCGGGACTGTCGTCTCCGAGGAAGATATTCGTGCATAGGCAACTGATGCAATCTGAAACCGCGAGGACTATTGGATCATATTCAAAATCTTCGGACTGTATGAAATTCTTTCCTATTTCCGGGCCTCTAATATACACACATTGTGCCGTGTTCTGATAAAAGATTCTTAGTAAGGGAAAGTGATCATCGCGTTTCGGGTAAAGGATTGCCAAAACATGCCAAGCACGGACGGGTTTGCGGGGCAATCAACGGCTTCCAAGAGGTTCATGTCAATGGATGCCGGTCCATACCTTAATTGTCTCATTTCCCCATTGCCTTTCGGATAATTTCCGAAACCCGTTATGTCCCACTACCGCGGAAGAACTGACAGTCTTGGCAATGGAAGTACAACGTATAGATAGTCGACATCTGTTGAACACGGAGGAAAAGGGTTGAGCTGGAACCTGCAGTATGCAATAACCTTGGAGCTGCATGTCTCAGTTCAAGGCTAGAATTTGAAATTTTTTTGCCGACATGTGGCAAGGGGTGTGACCCTGGAAGCACCGGCGATGCCGTCAAATGAGAGAAGGAAGTAAGCGCGTGGACCCGAGATCCAACCTCCCTTGACGCTGTTCCTCGTTCCTTCTCGTGTTCCTTTGGCCTTGGATTGTGCTGGTTTGATGGTCGATAGAAAAATCTGGAGTTCATATGACTTGGTCTAGAAAACAGAGCGAGGGAAAGAGATGTTGGCTTCCAGGTTGGGTTTGATATTTCTGAGCCCGGTTTCTCCCATAGTCTTGCCCGTATGTAGCTCACCTTTGTTCTTTTGTCCTCTTTTGCTTCAAGTCAATCATTCCAGATAGCCCAATGCATTCGTATTGATCTCCCAGCTTCCTCTCCGAGACTGTTCATTTTTAGAGTATTCTCTCGCAATAGGATTCAAGGTAGCGAACGAGCAGGATAACGGTCTAACTGTATGTAGTAGCGAGTAGTATTGGTTTATGTAAGAGACTTAATAGTAATAGTGATAGTTAATCAAGAGTTATATCTAAGGAAGAGAACAGATGCGTGGATTATTAGTAAGAACCCGGAACGATAGGATGATAATTAGTGAAGATATCATTAGCCACCGGTATAAGTTTCGGCTACTGTATAGTTTAATGCGGTCTTCGGAAGCTTACTTTACTTAAATTGAAGGAGGAATATGATAGAGTCCTACTAGTATATGCAGTTGCAACTCTGGTAACCGATATTCCGAACCCTAAAACCATGGCCACGTCCGAAAGTCGAGCCGAATCCCGACTTATTTGCCTGGGTTTACGGGTTTGCAGGTTCTGGCGCAGTCTAGACTCTGGACTTATATGGGCATTGAAGGTGGGAAGTCATGACATCATTCTCCATCTACGTCTTTAGTCTATTAGACTTGATTGCTTTATCAAACGGCTAAAATCTGTACCGAGTTAGAGGCGCACGTTCTAGAATTTTGATATCATTTATTGAGAATGTCCTAATCTAGACCTTTCTGACGATAATCTCTCGGTCATACCGAGTGATAGGTTCCCTTTACCGAGTTCCAACCTTAATATACATATTGGAAGTTTGGTCGAGCCTCACAAGGCTGGCCAGTGTTGTGGGCTTCGGAGTCTTTTTACCGCAAATTCTTACTTCAACTTGATGGGCATCAAGCTTTTCAGTTGTAGAAATCAGGCCATGATAGATAGTCGGAACCGGCAAAGCTTCGGAAAAATCGGAAGTAGTAGATGTCAAGCATACATTTTCCATCTATAAATCAGTATATGTTCCACCTCAAGTTCGCCTTTGTGCAATTGTTGAATCGTGAACTTTTACAGAATTCTGAATATACCTTCAATATGTGTTTTTGCGGGATGTGCTCTTGCAACTCCGGTTCGAAATCAGTCGGGTCACAATCCGTTGAGAACCTGGTCTATGAAATTGTCAAACCGAGCTTTCCTTGCGGTGAGAAGCTCAGCAACAGAAGATGCTTCCGCAGAGCTTCGAAGATCCTTCTCATCGGTGAGGTGCCTGGCTCAGAGTTATAAACAATCCATAACCCAACGCAACAGGATCCTCGGGGTGTGGGAAATCGACCGTGATCAAAAAGCTACGGATGCGGTTCGGTCGAGACATTTCTTCTCGCGAAAAAGAGGAAACCCGTATTGTTGTTTACGAAAACATTTACAGTGCTCTTGCATGTGCTATTCGTGAACTACAAGCCCAGGGCCGTCTCCTGGACAATGCGGACGATGGTGTACGAGTTCAAACTTCAAAAACCCCATGGCAATGCACTGACGCTACTAGGTCATTCAAACATTTTGGAGCTCAAATCAGGAATTCGGAATGACCCAAAGTCGATGGAACTGCGAATTGCTCTTATCGATGCGGGAATTGTGTCATAGAGCAATTGTTCTGGCCACTGCTCTTCGATTCATCAATCCGGAGAGCTATCTCAGAATGTACGCAGCTGGGTCATCTTGCAACCAATTTCCCCTCTCGAATTCCATCATGGACCCTTGCTAATGTATGACAGGTTTCTTTCTTCCTACAGCCACGTTCTCCAGCCCGAGTGGAATCCTACCGAAACAGACGTAATACAATGCTATGTCCCAACCAAGTCGTTGAGTGGTGCATGGATCAGCAAAGACCTCATAGCATTGGAGGCCAATACTAAACATACGACACAAAAAGAATTGTCCAAGATTATGCCATTAGTTGACGGTATTGTGTGCGTCGCGGATATTTCAACTCTCGACTACCGATATATGGTAGACCCCGGGAAAGTGAGTCTAACTATGCCACTCCCCTTCGCTTCTAACCCAGTTGCTCACCAAATCAAGACTCAATTCAATGAATCACTGGGCCTTCTCGAGGAAGTCCTAGGCAGCCGGGGTCCACAGCGGAAGCCAATCCAGCTCTTACTGAACAAAACCGACATACTGCGCAGGAAGCTAAAGCACCTGGGAGTATCCCTATATTCCGAGGGCGGACTCTTGCGGTATTTCCCTGGTTCGGCTGAATCCGTGGCTAAGTGCTTCAAGGAGCATTTGGGATACTGCGACGAGTATTATCTACGGGAGATTTGTGCTCTGGACGCAACATGGATGAACCACTTATTCAAGGTGTGGCGCGAAATGATGTTCAAATCAAAGCTTCTCGCTGCAGGTGTTATGTGAGAGACCAAGAATGGCGATTTTATCTGTATATACATGTTACATATCCTTCTCATCTGACTTTAGCCAGGTTTCTTAGACATCAGTTAGACCTCCCACTTCTCATGATTAATGAACAACCAACTATTTGAGAGATTTATGCTTGACAGTAACCGAATTCCAAGTGATTTCATAAGTCTGAGCCATTAAATAGCCAATCCAAGTAAGTCTATGTGGCAATACTCTCTCCAGCCACAGATGTCATGACGTGGTCCACTTTTCAAGTAAATCATAGTTAAGTTTTATCATCTTGAAACCTACCTTACTTCTTATTTTTTTTTTCATAAAGTCTGAATCTCTATCGTTATCCATCTCTACCTACCATCCCTAAATCTGTACTGAATCGGCATGCTTTTTCACAACAGAGACTCCTCCTTTCACTCGACAGATACCGCCCAGAATTCGCCGGATTCGGCATCCTATCATGAAAATGATAAACCTCCATCATCGCCATCTGTCGAGCTCGTGCCAGGTCAAAAAGGTCGACTAGCTGGTGGGAAGTATCTCAAACCTTCCACCTCCCACCATGAACACTTCACAACCCTTGATTTCGACTTTCCTTTAACTGGCACCAAAGCGATAGTCCAAGGTGGTAAGCAATATATCTTGATTGACTACACCTTTGGAGACAAAGAGAATCCATTCAATTGGAGCCCTTGGAAGAAGGCATTAGTCTCAGGCCTCCTTTGTTTGATGACCCTGTTCATCGGCCTAGCGACTACCGCCTACAGCTCTGGTATCACCCGAATGTGTGCAGATCTCGGCGTCTCCTTGGAGCTCGGGCAATTGGGTCTGTTCACCTTCAACATGACCTGCGCATTGGCACCATTGTTCCTAGCACCTTTCTGCGAACTTGCTGGGCGACGCATTGTCTACGCGGGTGCATACGTGGGGTTCTCGATTATGTTTATCGGCCTTGCACTAGGCAAGAATATTGCAACCATTCTCGTATGCCGAGCGCTGCTAGGTCTGTTTGGTTGTGTAGGGACTATTCTTGTCGGAGGTACCTTTGGCGACATGTACCACCCCGAGGATCGAGCTATCCCTATGGCCTCGTTCTCGTATGTCGCAATCCTCGGTACCGTTGCTGCTCCAATCTACGCCGGCTTCATCGACGAGACAATTGGCTGGCGTTGGATTGAAGGAATCCAAGGTCTAGCGAATATCCCTCTTATGGTCATCATCGTATTCTTCTTTCCTGAGACTCGGGGCAGCATGATGCTTTCTAAAAGGGCCAAGATTCTACGTTCAAAGACGGGTGATCAACGCTATGTCGCTCTAAACGACCTCGAAGCACCTAATTTGAAGCGTATGCTATACAACTCTTCCGTGAAAGCAGTAAAGATGCTTATAACGGAACCTGTTGTTTTCTTCTTCGGTCTTTGGATTAGCTTTGCTTGGTTCTTGACTTTTCTCTTCTTATCCGTGATTCCTATCACCTATGAAGAAAAGAAAGGCTGGAGCGAGGGCGTTGCCGGCCTCCCATACATCGCGCTCTGCATCGGAACGACCCTCGGCTTCATGATGCATTTCCTCCAAATCCACAAATACAACACAGTTCATAAAGACAAGACCGATGAAGAAATGCGTCCGGAAGCCAGACTTTACGGTGTCATGTTTGGAGCCGTCGCGCTCCCAATCGGCCTGTTTATCTACTCCTTCACACAATACGCATATGTACATTGGATCGGGCCTATGATTGGGCTTGGTCTGATTACTTTTGGGATTTTCTTCATTTTCGAGTCGTGCTACAGCTTCACGTCGGATTGCTACGGTGAAACTTCCTCTTCAGCGATTGCTGGACAGGGATTCATGAGAAATACGCTCGGCGCCGTGTCGCCTTTATTTGCTTCCCAGTTCTTTCATAATGTGGGCAGCCAATATGCAGGCCTGATTCTGTCGATCATTGCGGCTTTCTTGACTGCGATCCCTTATGTGTTGTTTGTTTATGGTCCGGCTATTCGATCTCGATCTAAGCTGGCGAGTGTGCCTCGGCGTCGGCCTAGCTCAGGTCTTTGAAGACTATCAGTGCGGTGGAGAAGGTCCGATGCCGGATGAAGAATATTTGAGTCACATTTTCCATAGGGATCTACGTATTGGACTATTGACCCACTCAGAGGAGAAGAGAACGTAACAAAAACAGAAAGATCTACATGTGGGCAGAGTGTATAATTACTGAATAACGGTATAGTTAGTGGCAGTAACGTGGATAATTTAAGATTTACAGATTCTGAAACATTTGTGATAAGAATTTCAGATATTTGCATTGTGGGAATTTATTACCTTGACTAAGCCATGTAAAGCTCACTTTGTTGAATGCAAATGTATCAGAATTTCAAGCAGAACACACTGTACAGGTTGTCAAGCGTTAAGACTTGTCATTCTTGGACTCCGAAATCCAGGCCTACCTTCAGGGCCTGATGCGTAGATGCAGCCCCAAAGGTGTCGTATGCGGTTGTTGCATCGTCGAACGAATAATCTGCAACAAACAATCAGATAAAATGTCGTCGGGGTCAGGTTTAGAACTTACGATGCGTGACTAGCGAGTTGACGTCCAACTTGCCCTCTTTCACTTGCTGCAACAAGGAGGGGATTGAAACCGCATTGACCAGCGACATGTGGATACCTAGGACAAATTAGCAAAAGAAATAAAGCATCAATCAACACTTGACGGACTTATGTTGCGGTCCCATAGTTTTTCCAAATGTAAATCCACCTTTTTGCCATGGACTCCCATATTCGCGATGCGCCCGCCAACGGCCACCAGCTCTTGACACAATTGGAAAGTGACTGAAATGCCAACCGCCTCGATGACAGAGTCAAATCCTTCATTTTTGGTCAAGTCCAGGAGCTGTTTCTTTGCGTCTGGAGCACCAGAGTTAACCGTATAATGCGCACCCAATTCCCGCGCCTTCTCTAAACGCGTATCGTCCAGGTCAACCATAACAATCATGTCAGGGTTCTTTAGACGCGCAGTAAGAAGAGCTGCGATCCCCACCGGACCCGCGCCGACAATTACCACGGATCCTGCTGAGTGGACGTCTGAACTGAGCACACCGCATTCATAGCCTGTCGGCAAGGCATCCGAGAGGCAAACCGCATCACGTGCGTCTATAGAGGAATCCAAGCGGTGGAGCGACCGAGTTGCGTGCGGTACGCGTACGTACTCCGCCTGGGTTCCATCGAGATGGTTGCCAAGAATCCATCCTCCGGATTCGCAGTGGGCGGGAATACCTCGCTGACAGTAACGGCACGACCCACATGATGTCATGCAGGAGATAACCACTCGGTCACCTACTTGCAATCCTTGCACGGTGGAGCCCAATGCCTCAACAACCCCAACGCCTTCGTGACCCAAGACAACGCCAGATTCTGCGGTTTGGATGTCGCCTTTGATGATGTGCAGATCTGTTCCGCAAATGGACGTATGCAGCATTCGCACAACTGCGTCCGTGGGCTCCTGGATGGTTGGCTTGGGTCGTTCTATGACTTCAATTTTGCCATTGTTGCAAACAAGACCCTTCATGGTTTCGTGGATTAAAGTGTAAGAGGTGTGGGAAAATTGTCGGTGCGGGTTGAAGGAAGGAAAAGAAGTCGACGGCGTGATAGGAGAAATGGAAGGGTTGAGTCTTTGGGAATTTATATACCAGCTCTGGAGGGGTGGAGAACGTGGTAATCGTCGAGGATAGAAAGATATGGCCTTTATTGACGTCAGGCAGCCTGACTTGGTGGACCTAGAAAACTAAAACAAGGCATTAGTCGTGATAGATATGCTTATGCATTGTGTGTGGGACTCGTACATTGTTCATGATGTGGATGTTGGAAACAGATCGCGGTTTCGGGGGCACCTCGGAAATATATCAGCCAGATCAGCTGATTGTAGAGAGTTTCGAGTAATTTCAATAGCTTCGGGCGGAGGAAGGTGATTGGTTCAGCCGTAAGAACTAGTTAACTAGCCTGACTCCTGCTCGTACGTTATTGAGTTATCCTCGTACGTTTGCCGTTAGACGGATAAGGAATGTCTTGGCCGGCCTAACATATCCGAGAATATGCATCTTTGACTTTCGCATGATTCAAGCACTGAGTCATGACGAAGAACAATAATATTTTCTTTGTGCATTATCAATTTTGGATCCATTTGGCCGGAACCGGAAGAAGGTGGCTTCATTGGAATAGGTGGCCTCTACAGTATCAAATGAGTTATACAGTTGCCGTTAAACTATATACTGCGAGTGACAATATCACAAGTTTCAATCAGTCGTAAAATAATACCTCATATCATGATCATAAGACATACTATAAGAGAGGCATTAAAGAATAGAATCATGATATTTGCTAACAACCTTTCCGTTCTCATCTTCTATCTATACGCTTGAACCGAATTTTCATATGCCATTCATAGTGAACTGGACAAAAGCGTCAAGTGAATAACAGAATATCAGTGCAGCTAGAGAGAACGCCTTTGGAAATTCTATAATCAACGAATTCGAATATTCCTACAATTAGGGCTAATGTGTGGAGTTTCCTCGGAAATTTCTTAAAACAAGATAAATCGACTTTTCATTCAATGCATATGCTTCTCAAACGAAATATAATCTTCAAAACATACAAAGAGCAAAATAATCCAAGCAATAGACACTATATTACTATTAGTATACTTAAAATAAGACCGATAAAGTTCACAAAAATCTCGAAATGACCAAGCAACCGTTCTTCTTTAATCCTTCGGCCCTGTTAAAAGCAAAAGGAGAAATTCCAAGCGGGGCATAGGCCAGGCATCCAAAAAAAAATACTGAAGGTACCATGAGGTCTCTGATCCACACCACGAGGACCAGAGAGGTCAGGAACCGAAAGGGATCCGGATCTCAATAAAGAGATGGATCGACCGTCGAGGCTTCTCAACTGATTTACAGGAGAGCCATGAGGGCAACAACACCAGCAAGGAAGCCAGCAACGGGCTTGACGCTGGAGGCAGCACCGGTGAACTCACCAGCGGAGGGAGAGGCGCCGTGCTGCTCAGGGGTAGAGGGCGCCTCCGGGGCGGAGGGGGTAGGAGAGCCGGAGGGCTGGGCAGCGGGCTGGGACTTAGCAGGGACGGCGGGGACAGCGGGCTGGGACTGTCCAGGAACAGCGGGGACAGCGGGCTGGGTCTGGCCAGGAACAGCAGGAACAGCGGGCTGGGTCTCGCCGGGAACAGCAGGGACAGCGGGCTGGGTCTGGCCAGGAACAGCAGGAACAGCGGGCTGGGTCTCGCCAGGAACAACGGGGACAGCGGGCTGGGTCTGGCCAGGAACAGCAGGAACAGCGGGCTGGGTCTCGCCAGGAACAACAGGGACAGCGGGCTGGGTCTCGCCGGGAACAGCGGGGACAGCAGGCTGAGTCTCACCAGGGACAACGGGGACAGCGGGCTGAGTCTCACCAGGGACAACGGGGACAGCGGGCTGAGTCTCACCAGGGACAACGGGGACAGCGGGCTGGGTCTCGCCGGGAACAGCGGGGACAGCAGGCTGAGTCTCACCAGGGACAACGGGGACAGCGGGCTGAGTCTCACCAGGGACAACGGGGACAGCAGGCTGGGTCTCGCCGGGAACAGCGGGGACAACGGGGGTAGCGGGCTGGGTCTCGCCGGGGACAGCGGGCTGAGTCTCGCCAGGGACAACGGGGACAGCGGGCTGGGTCTCGCCGGGAACAGCAGGGTGAGTCTCACCAGGAACAACGGGGACAGCGGGCTGGGTCTCGCCGGGGACAACGGGGACAGCGGGCTGGGTCTCGCCGGGGACAACGGGGACAGCGGGCTGAGTCTCACCGGGAACAACAGGGACAACAGGGGTAGCAGGCTGGGTCTCGCCGGGGACAGCGGGGTGAGTCTCGCCAGGGACAACAGGGACAACAGGGACTGCGGGCTGTGTCTCGCCGGGGACAGCGGGGTGAGTCTCGCCAGGAACAACGGGAACAGCGGGGTGAGTCTCGCCAGGGACAACGGGAACAGCGGGGTGAGTCTCGCCAGGGACAACGGGAACCACGGTGGTCGGCACAACGGGAGCAGTGGGGCCTGCGGTGGGGCCTGCAGTGGCAGGCACAGTGGAGTTGTAGAAGGTCAAAGGCTTCTCATCGCACAAGGTGCACACGGTGGTCTTGGTGATGGTGATGGTGCTTGTTCCGGTGACGGGCACAGTCCAGGTCTTAGAGCCAGAGGTGATGGTAGACGAGTAAGCTGGAGATATTGTTAGAATGTGTAGTTCAAGTGGTACGAATTTGGTAGAGGTTATAGGACTTACTAGGGCAGGTGGTGGTCACATAAGTGAGGGTCTTGGTGGTGCCAGGCTTCACAGGGAAGTGAGGCTTGGTGGTCTGCTCGGGCACAGTAGTGGTTCCGTTGGCCCAGGTGGTGGTGCTGTGCTCGGGCACCGGGGTGGTCGAGGTGGTGTACGGGGTGGTGGTATTGCTGTACACCGGGACGGTGGTGCTATACACCGGGGTGGTGGTGTTGTGCACCGGGATGGTGGTGCTATGCTCGGGCACCGGGGTGGTCGACGTAGTGCACGGGGTAGTGGTGTTGCTGTGCACCGGGATAGTGGTGCTATACACCGGGGTGGTGGTGTTGTGCACCGGGATGGTGGTGCTATGCTCGGGCACCGGGGTGGTCGAGGTAGTGCACGGGGTAGTGGTGTTGCTGTGCACCGGGATAGTGGTGCTATACACCGGGGTGGTGGTGTTATGCACCGGGATGGTGGTGCTATGCTCGGGCACCGGGGTGGTCGAAGTAGTGCACGGGGTGGTGCTGTTGCTGCTGTGCACCGGGATGGTGGTGCTATGCTCGGGCACCGGGGTGGTCGAGGTGGTGCACGGGGTGGTGGTGTTGCTGCTGTGCACCGGGATGGTGGTGCTATACTCAGGGACCGGGGTGGTCGAAGTAGTGCACGGGGTGGTGCTGTTGCTGCTGTGCACCGGGATGGTGGTGCTATGCTCGGGCACCGGGGTGGTCGAGGTGGTGCACGGGGTAGTGGTGCTGTACACCGGGGTAGAGGTGGAGTGACTGTGCACCGGGGTGGTGGTGGTAGAGTGCACCCGGGTGGTGGTGCTATGCTCGGGCACCGGGCTGGTCGAGGTGGTGCACGGGCTTGTCCACGACTCAGACGACTCAGTGGACTTGCTCCAGGACTCGTAGGTCGAAGACTGCTCGGCCGGCTTGGACCAGCTCTCGCCCCAGCCCTCAGCCTGGGCAGGGGTAGCAACAGCAGCAGAGCTCTGAGCGGCGGGACGGATGAAGTCCTCGCCACGAGCCTGCATGATACCGGCAAAGGCCGGGCTGGCAAGAGCCAGAAGAGCAACGGAATTGATCATTTCGAGAGAACAAAGTCTTAACAAACAAACTTGGAAAGATAACGAGTGAAGAGATGATGAAGAAAGTTTCAATGATGGACACAGATGAACGATCTTATATGCCCTGTTTGAGAAGACTGGTTCCAAGTCATGACGGATATGGTGTGCCACGGTCGTGTCCAGGTCAGAAAGGTAGACCTGAATCACAATGTCACCATATGAGGCCGAATGCAGGTACTAGGACAGCTCAACTCCAGATGGCAAAGGCACAGATGGAAGGCCATTGGACAAAATCCTGCGCAATGATACATTCATATGGCAAACTCAGATGCAAACGTGACAGACTGTAGTTTCATTGGGGTAAGTGGTGCAGGAGGTCTCCATCTTCATCCACTAGAGTAACCTAATGCGGAAGCATGGAAAGAGCTTGGCAATCTCCATACGTCTCCACAAACTGCGAGAGTAGTGAGCAAATCCCCGGCGGGACAGCATATTGCTTCATTGCGATAGAGAAAATCGTTTAATAACGGTTCAAGACACATGTGTTTTGGATTATGTGGCCAGCAAAATGCTCATTCTGGATCTCCAGGGTTAGCAGGGCGGTAGCCATGACACCTCCGGACCGGGGGATAGTAGATCATATTCAAACGGAACCACAATTGATATGACAAGGTTCCTCCGATTGGGGCTACAGACCCCACGGAGACGAATAGCCTCGCGGGCTAAGCTATTGGACCAGAAGCAGGCAAAATCGCAAGTACGAATAGGCGTGATTCCATCCAAGATTGGATCTCTGGAATGTGGGAATAGCCTCCGATTGAGTATAGGGGCGTTCCATTGGTAGGTGCCACCTTGAAAGAATGTACGCGCGAGCTCGACGTATTTCCGGAGCACAACGATCCTATAGGCTCGCAAGACATCTTTTCTTTGAGTTATTAATCGGATGTGGCCCATCGTAGCATCGGCGGCTGCAATCAATGACGGGGACATCTCAATCTAGTATGTTGTACTGGGTTAGGCCAAGCCCCCACTGCGCGAAGATGGGGCTTTTGCCGCATTAACAATGTGGCTCTCATCAGAGATTGATATCGGATAAGTCTTCAACCAATCCGAGAATGTGATCTGTGCAGCCTGCACGGTTGTTATTCCATTTTTTTGGAACAGCAGGGAAGTCTAGATGTCATCCACGGATCCTGGTGAATGAGAGGTACAGCAGTGAGGTACTACGCAGATTTGGCCGCAAGCGGTAAGTGGATGAGCATAGTACCTTGATATCCTGACTGCCCTCCATAGTAAAAGCAAGGAACAACCCGCTTTCGGTCATATATGATATTTCCATTTTAGGATAGCACGTGACGTAGGGCTTAGGGCAGACGCGTGCACGGGGCATCGCGCGTCGCGCGTCGCGCCTTCCTGTTTGGGTCCAATTAAGCCCCGGAGAATCTTGAAAAGAGCATTTGCTTTGCCCATTCGCCCACAATGCCTCACTCAGTATCATCTGGCTCTGCGCAGAATGATGATGAGATGCCGGATGCCCCTCCAGTCGAGACCTCAACTGAGACTCGTGTCAGACTCGAGGATATGTTCGACGGCGATGATGATGATGATGACGATGAGGAGTTCCCGGCTTCCGCAGATGTGAAGATGGATTCTCCGCCAAAGGAAGAGTGAGTGCTAAGCTCTTGTACAGTAACATTGGACTCGACTGCTGACAGAGGCTCGCAACAGGCCTCCAGCACCAACACCATCGGGTGTGGACCCAGATATCATGCTCGCCTTTTATCAACGACTTTTCCCCTTCCGATACCTCTTCCAATGGCTGAATCATGGAATTGTACCCACAAAAGACTTCGGCAACCGCGAATTTGCATTGACACTGCAAAATGACGCCTATCTCCGGTACCAATCATATCCAACTGCTGACCTGTAAGGCCCGTTTCAACCTTGATTGTCGGATCCCGTTTGAGCTAACACGTATGCTCAGGTTCCGGAAAGACATACTTAAAATGAACCCTTCTCGTTTCGAAATCGGACCTGTCTATAGCACCAACCCACGCGATCGGAAAACGCTACGAGGCGGTCAGATGAAGCCAGTCTCGAAGGAATTGGTTTTTGATATTGATTTGACTGATTACGATGATATTCGTACATGTTGTGTCAAGGCGAATATCTGTGCTAAGTGCTGGTCATTTGTGACAATGTCAATCAAGGTCATTGACACCGCACTACGGGAGGACTTTGGGTTTGAACACATCCTCTGGGTTTACTCTGGTCGTCGTGGTGCTCACGCCTGGGTATGCGATCCCCGTGCGCGCAACCTCACAGATGACCGACGCCGAGCCATTGCTGGTTATCTTGAAATAATCCGCGGGGGGTCACAAAGCGGGAAAAAGGTCAACATCAAACGGCCACTACACCCCCATATTGTACGCAGTCTTGAGTTGCTCAAACACGACTTTGCCCGGACTACACTCGGTGATCAAGATACATTCGAATCTGCCGAGCAGGCAGAACGCCTTCTGTCCTTGTTGCCTGACAAGACCTTAAACGACTCCTTACGGAGGAAATGGGAATCCTCTCCAGATCGTGCCAGCACCAGCAAATGGGCCGATATCGATTCACTTGCAAAGACCGGTAAGAGCAGCACGTTAAACCCGGCGACGCTCAGGGATGCGAAGCAAGATATTGTCTTGGAATATACCTACCCACGCCTGGATGCCGAGGTCAGCAAGAAGATGATTCATTTGCTCAAGAGTCCCTTTGTTATTCACCCCGGCACTGGCCGTATTTGTGTTCCCATCGATCCTCGCAATGCGGAAAACTTCGATCCTCTTTCCGTCCCGACGGTGATGAACCTACTTGCTGAGATTGATGAATATGACGCGAAACACTCTGCCGGCACAGCGGAGGCAGATATCCCCGACGTTGAAGGCAGTGCGATGAATGGCTCCGACATTAAGGGTAGCCGTAAGGTGCAGGACTATGAAAAGACCAGCCTGAAACCTTATATCGATTTCTTCCGTTCCTTCATCGCAGGCCTCATCAAGGAAGAGCGTGCTGGTAAGCGTGAACGAGATAATAGTGGCCCTGTTGTCAAGGCTGATCCTATGGAATTCTAACCGCATCATGTTCATGTTTGTTCCATTTGCCTAGCGTTGCCATAGGATTATGACTTTATGTTTTGTTAATTACCTCCACCGAATTTTACTTTGGACTTATATCAAGGGATCGCGCTTGGGAGTTGGCATTTATTGTGCATGGAACCGAGTTATTTGTTATCAATCAGCCTTATTCTACCTTTATTATATTCTCATTCGAAACTATCAATTGAATAAAGATAGGGTGTGTTGATGAAGCAGTTCGTGAAGTAGTTTACGATGAAGCGAGATATGATATGAGTGACACTTTTTGCCAGGGGTTTTCATACAAATTGTAGTATCTACAATTATGAAGGCGCTACTGAACATTTAGTAGGGGGGATGGTCAGATCCATGGGATGGCTGTATCAATACCCTAAAGGTAATCACTCGGTTGTGGAACCTATCAACTTGGAAGATGTGTAAATTAAGCTAGAGTTAGGAGTACGAGTATAGCCATGTAATAAGTGAAGTGATTGTATATTGGAAATATTGGTACAAATAGAGTCGTACAAGTAATTGCACTAAAGCTAACCATGATATGTTGGCACGCGGGTGGTACCTCCATATCAGGCAGACTTCTCATTATCAAAAGGCGCCTCCGACAGGATTAAAAAGAAATGGGCCAAAGGTTGAATGGGGTAGTTAATTTAAGCACCAATGAAGTTCTTGACGGCTAAAGAAAGGTATTGTTAGCACGAGTCACGGAAATTTTATATAGGAAGGGAAACATACTCTCCAACCAGCGCAAGTACTCCTTCTGCTCCTTGACGGAGATGTAGTCAGGAACCATATTAGCGAACTCGGCGTTAAGGCCACGGTCCTCTAGGTAGCGGTCCCAGAGACCCTGAAGGTCCTCATCGAGGTTCTCGAAGGGGGGACCGGCGTAAAGGCTCTGGCGAGCCCAGTCCTTCTCAGCAGTCTGGGACTGAGCGAGCTCGGCGTTGGCGAAGTGGGAGACCTCCTCGATCTGGAACACGCCGTCCTGGACAACGGTCTGGATGAGAAGGGCACCGTTGTTGGGTTTCTCAACGGTGATGGTAACACGGGCAGGGAAGCTAGGCTCGGGCTGCTCGATGTCCTCGGCGGAGGCCTCGGCATTCTGGCCGCGGGACTGGTTCTGGAAGTCCATCTCGTCGGACAAAGAGGCGTCATCAAAGTCCTCCTGTTCGCTGATGTTCTGGATATCGGCGACGGTAAAGCTAACACGGATGCTAAACAATCATATGTATTAGCATTCATTGAAGGGAAGAAAAAGTAGAGAGGGATTGTATGAATCGTACTTCTCGGTGCCGAACTTCTTGGTCAGGATAACCTCCTGCTCGCCGGCAACATCCTTCACCTGCCACTCGCCATCCTTAATAGTCTCCTCGATGGATTCTAATTGCTCCTCGAATTCGGGAATCTCGGAAGACTTCTCGTGTCTCAGCTCATCCTCGAGCTTGGCGAGAAGCTCGATGTCGACTGTAAAAAAGTAAAATCCAATATCAGCGTGAGGCCACATACGAAGTCCGCCACCAGACAAGCTCGGATTTCGGCGGACTCTTCAACTATCATCAACGCATCTTACCTTCAGACGAAGGAGCCTTGAAGATGCTGGAGGTCGAGAAGGCAGCGTAGGCGGGCTTAGTGGCCTGATTCCATGATTGCCGGAGAGCGGGCTTAGGGAATGCTGGGCGCAGAGCCGAAGTGGCAATGGAGCGCGAGAAAGTGCGCGGGATAGAGCGGGTGATAGTGCGAAGAGAAAGCATTGTGAATGTGGATGGGTCTAAAGTTGATGAAGATGAGAGAGCTTGGGAAAAAGTAAATGGAGCTAAAGTTATTACGAGTGCCAAGACCCGCGCTTCTGTTTTGGCCGACTTTGCGCGGCCACGCAATTTCATTCGACGTTAGGCAAAAAGGATATATAATTTTAATTGACCTTGATTGAAGAGGACATTGAGTAATTTGGATTGAGTGGAATTCATATCGCGACTCGCTGTACTATACGGAATGAAAGACCTTGCGCATGGAAGAAACATAAAATTGATTCCATAAGTCCCTTTTTGTATGACACTAGGCTCGCTGACCCTTAGTCCTCATTGCAAGATACATCCACCATCTCCCCAGCTTCTCGAGGTCCACTGCGTCATTGTGCTCATAAGCGGCGCAGGTGAATACTTTAAGTCGGTCCCCCGGGCATGGAGGAAGTGAAATATCCACCCCTTGCTTGAATCGAATATATATGGAAGCGTGGATGTGGTATGTATACTATTATACTATAGGTCCCTTGCTATTTCGACCTATTACATTAATGCGCTTTCAAAAATTTCAGGTTTTTTTGTTGTGCAATTAATCAATGCACCTTGGCTAGCCATACACATGTAGTTCGGCGCAACATAACATTGAAATGGTCGTGGCATTAAGTTGCCGCTCCTGTGCCGTGACCTGAAGGCCTGATGAATTCCCACGCGTTACCTGCGAGGTGCGCCGTTTCAGATGCTTACCCACGAACTAAAACAGCATAGTAGTTTCTGTCTAGTTTTTCGCCACGCTTCTGGCTCAAAAAATCCTGTGGCCTTCTACGTATTCAAAATCGCCATTGCACTTGTGCTCTTTTGCGCTTTCATGACGTTTGACGTTCTTTGAAAGCTCCTCCCTGGCCAACGAGCCTACGACTATAAGAGCACCTACTTCAACTCTACTTTTCAGCAAGTCCAATTCTAGAGTCCCGAGGCATATTTTAGGCTACAAACTGGCAGATGGCGACAACAAGCCCTGGTCGTTCAAATAGCTCTTCTTCGAAAAGAAAATCAATGCGTCAAAAACAAGTTCGTCGCAAATCCAATTTGATGAAAAAGGCGCGCGAATATAGTAAGTTATGTGAAGCAGACGTCTGTGTGCGGATTCGCCTTGGGAAACAATATAGACTAAGGACGTCGCCTAAAGTCTAGCGGTCACTCCGCAAGGGCAGTGGTCACTTTATATCTAAAATACCACAGCTAGTCCCAGAGGCAGTCTACGTATCAGGCGAGGTCGGCGGGTGAGATCTCAAAGTGGGTGCCAGACGGGTCCCCCTCCGAAGGCCCTTCAGGATCTCGTAGGTCTTGGCGCCATTCTTCTCCTGGTGGCACTCGTCCCGAAAAGCACAGCCCTAGAGGGCACCGCATACCGATCTCATCACCTTCACCTCCGGGATGTATCCTCCGCCGTGGCTTCGCACTCCAGGGCATCAGTGTTCCACTATTGTCGCCCAGAAGTAAATTGTACTCTTGATTGTCCATCACGGAGTACCTGAAAGCGTACCCACTACACCACCTGGGACCAACGAGAGCCGCCAAAATCACGCCCAGCGTGTTCACTGGGGGCCTTGTCTAATATAATAATTAAGTCATTCCGGAAAATAATTCCTATGAGAAACGATGTCATTTTGATGTTGTCGAGAGCTGCAAGCTGAGGCAGCTTATTTTCTAGAGGAGGTGGTGGCAAACCTTCAAGTATGCTATGACGATTTAACTGAATGTCTCAACGTACGAAATGTATACATCATTATAGTGGGGGCCTTTACAATATGTACTTTTAGTGGACTGCAGCAAAGACCAAAGGGTTCGTTTCTATCCTTTCCCCATTTATCAGAGCCATTTGTCAACCAAAGTTACCAAAAAATGACTATCCCAGATGAAGTCGATATCATTGTCGTCGGCGGTGGCAGTGCTGGCTGTGTTTCCGCTGGTCGTCTCGCCAATCTCGATCATAATCTTCAGGTTCTGCTGATCGAGGCGGGCGAAGATAACCTGAACAACCCACAGTACGTAAATATCACTGGTGTATTGACTACATGCTAATGCTTAACAGAGTTTTCCGACCTGGTATCTACCCACAGAATATAAAGCTTGATTCTAAGACAGCCACCTTCTACCATTCTCAACCATCGAAAGCTATAGATGGACGGAGAGCCATTGTGCCAGCTGCGCGGGTCCTTGGTGGAGGGAGTTCAATCAACTTTATGGTAATCTGCACATGTCATTTCTTGTATTAAGGTTCATCTAACTGAATAGCTAGGTGTATACGAGAGCCTCGGCCTCGGATTATGACGACTTTGAAGCCAAGGGATGGACAACGAAAGAGCTTCTGCCTCTCATGAAAAAGCCTGAAACCTACCAGAGACACAGCACGAAGCGAGACATCCACGGCTTTGACGGTCCAATCAAGGCCTCCTTTGGAAACTATACATATCCAATCATGCAAGAGTTTCTCCGTGCGGCTGAATCTCAAGACATTCCAGTCACTGATGACCTGCAGAACCTACAAACTGGGTAAGAACTCGACATCCTAAGCAGTAATTGCATTAGTACGTTTCGGTTAAATATTGACTTGCTGTGGACCTCTAGCCACGGTGCCGCGCAATGGACTAAATGGATCAACCGTGATACAGGTACTGCAATCTATCTCTTATCTAATCTTGCAACGTATCATACTGATTACTTTGTGGATTAGGCCGCCGCAGTGATGCCGCTCATGCATATGTTCACAGCACTCGAGAAGATTACGAAAATCTTTACTTGAAGTGTAATACGAAGGTGGTTAGGGTTATTATTGAAAATGGAACAGCAGTCGGTATTGTAACCGTCCCAGAGAAGCCTCTGAAAGATGAAAAAATACAAAAAATACAAAAAATTTACAGAGCCCGCAAGCAGATTCTTATCTGCGGTGGTACCCTCAGCTCACCTCTCATACTCCAGCGATCTGGAATTGGTGACCCTAAAAAACTTCGTCAAGCGGGTGCGTCCGACTTCTCTCATCCCCAGAAACCTTGAGATCTGTCATTCTGAGAAGCTTCATACAGGCATCGAACCTATTGTGGACCTGCCAGGTGTTGGTTGCAAATTTCAAGATCATCACCTTCTATTTTCTGCCTACAGAGCGAGACCTGACACTGAGACATTCGATGAATTCGTTCGCGGAAATACCGATGTCCAAAAGGCAGCTTTTAATGAATGGACCTCTAAAGGCACTGGTCCGTTGTCAACAAATGGGATTGAAGCAGGTGTGAAGATCCGGCCAACTGAACAGGAACTTGAGGAGATGAAGAATTGGCCTACATCTGATTTTCTGAGTGGTTGGGAGAGTTATTTCAAGAATAAACCAGATAAACCGGTCATGCACTACTCCGTCATTGCTGGGTAAGAATTCAAACCCTCTGTGAGCTTCTCTCCGGTTTCTAATAAAAGGTCACAGCTGGTTCGGCGACCATTTGCTTATGCCTCCTGGGAAATTTTTTACGATGTTCCATTTCTTGGTAACTATAATGAAGCATTTGATCCTATCTAGCTCCTAACAAGAAATGCAGGAATATCCTTTCTCCCGTGGATGGATCCATGTGAAATCCCCGGACCCCTATGAGGCTCCGGACTTTGATGCAGGATTTTTGAATGACAAACGTGATATCGCTCCCTTGGTTTGGGGCTATATCAAGTCTCGTGAGACAGCTCGCCGTATGGATGCATATGCTGGTGAAGTGACCTGGATGCATCCCAATTTTGCCTCGGACTCGCCTGCTCGAGCACATGATCTGGACCTTGCAACAACTAAAGAATATGGTGGTCCTGCTCATATGACAGCTGGTATCCAACATGGTAAGGAAATCGCAGTGATTGCTGTCGTCCATCCTTTACTAAACCATGGTTATAGGTTCCTGGACCTTACCCGTCGATCCTGGAATGCAGCTACCAGAGAGCGTGATCAGCTCCAGCCGGCAGGTAATTCGGGAGCCCATCAAATACAGCCGGGAGGACATTGAGTGTATTGAGCTCTGGGGTGAGTATACCTACTTCCCCTCTTCCTTCATATTCTAAGCACAATTCTCAGCGAGACGTCATGTAGAAACAACATGGCACTCCCTTGGTACGTGCAGTATGGCTCCTAAGGAAGGCAACTTCAAAGTCAAGCATGGAGGAGTTGTCGATGAGCGGCTGAATGTCCATGGTGTCAAAAACTTAAAGATCTGTGATTTGTCAATCTGCCCCGATAATGTGGGTACTAATCCTTACAGCGTAAGTCTTCCTTGTCGTTGTCTTCTATCTCATTTCCTTCAGCGAAGTCTGGTATTAATGAATGTTTTTTTAGGTTGCTCTTTTAATTGGCGAAAAATGCTCTGTCCTGACCGCGGAGGATCTTGGATATTCGGGCTCTGATCTTGAAATGAAGGTGCCCACCTACAATGCCCCAGGTGAAACTGTTAATCTCCACCGAGTTTAACATGAGGACAACGGTCCAAAGAGCGTATTAGATAGTTTTGGGATTCTAGAATTTCACTTTTCTTGAGACTGTATTATCTTAGTTTTGAGAACGGGACTTGGGCGAGGTCGTGTCTTTTATGTCCGGATGATGTGAGGAGAGTGTATTGGGGCGCCAACCCGGAAACAGCAAAACTAACCAGATGTAGTAATTCACAGGTCCCTATATTACTAAATCAAAGCTATTCCCTCGCGCTCGATACGCTCCTAAGATAGATTCTATTCAGCGTCAGCCATCTCGACCTCCTACTATATGGTGTAACGGAACACCCGATTGGACCACTTTTAAAAGACCAACCTATCTATCTGTACCGTCTTCTAGATCCTAGTCCGATCCAGCGGTAATCCCTTCTTCTCCGCCGTATCCTGAACCAGCGCAGCTAAAGGATCAAGACCAAGCTTGGAAGATTTAGCCGGTCTTCTAAAACCTATAGCTGACGTATGAGGCGATTATAGCGATTCCTAAGGGCAGTCCGTCTTCCTGGCCCGGCACAGAAATAATAAAGTAGCGCTAGTCAATATCTACCTTCTGAAGTAGCAGTTTTCGTCTGTTAAGCTACTATTAGAAACCAGGAGTCAATTCTCTTATCCTAGCTTTCTGGATCTACTGGGGTACTACTATTAGGAGGATTAGGTATTTTTAGTCTGGGAGTCAGTAGAGCTCTTAGTAAGTCATATCCTCGTATCGAGGTATACTATCACTAAGGGTAAGGTTGCCGCAACTATTCGGCAGGTAAGTGCTAGTCTTAGCAGCCGATATAAGAAAGTGGTGCTTATACCGTAACCTAATAGGTCCTCGAAGGAATTCAATATCTACGCGGTCGCGGGAGAGCCCTCGCCGCCTTAAGTACCGATACCATATTGCTCACGGAGTCCGGTGGAGTCAGGATCGGTAAGTAGGGAAACTAAGCGCACCTGGCCATATAAGTATAGTTTACTAACGGTGATTAATGTTATAGTAGGAGTGGAGCACAGGCTACAGCTACCAAATCGATACAGCCGAGATAGACGCGGTAACTCTGAAGCTATTCGCTTTAGCTAAGGTTATAAAAAGGCTGATTATAAAGAATCCTCCGCACTATCACACTCTTATAACTTGGTTCGCGAACTCGAAACACGCTGGTCCATATTTGGAATTGTATTCGATCCATGATTTCCAAGAATAGACATTGTATTTTACATGACGCGGATGGGACCCTGCCATGTGTATTTTACTCGAAAATGCCATACAATCGCAGAATTGTATAGTAACGGCTGTATGTAGATGGACGATACAACAGCATTGAATTGAAATGGTATATTCGAAAACATTCGGCTGTACAGAATCTAGAAGAATCAATGTACCCATAATGCGCCAACCCAGTCTTTTTGGACACCAGACAAAAAAATATAGAAAAAAGGAATCGTGAGATCATGACATGCTCTTCGGTGGGAAAGTAGACGCAAGTTTGTTTCCGTCTTTTGTGAACCGCATGAACTTGATCGCGCTGAGACCCGACCAGTGTCCATTCCAGTTCTTCATTGCGGTCATTGCATATTGATCGCCTATATCGGGCATCCACAGTCCGGTCTCGAACTCTCGAGCCTCGGTTTGCACCCGCTGTTTCAAGGCCTCTTCGCGCTTGCTAGGAGGACGTCCCTTCCGGCGCTCTGACTCGAGCTGTTTGATTTCCTCGGTATCACGGTCAATGTACCTGGTTTGGATTAGCCTTGGGTTTGGTAATGGATCATCGGTGGTACATACTTGGAGACAAACTCGGAAATCTCTTCGGTAGAAAGGGCCTCAGTAAGCTCTTGGATAGCCTCATGGATGTAATCAATTCGGTCCACTAATCGAGTCAGCTGGGTGGCCTTCAATTGAATGGGCAGTTGTCTCACAGTATGGCTGTCTTGCACGGTTCACAGTGGCATTATGGCGGGACAATCGATCATCGCGAGCACCAGCTTTGCGGAGTCGGTGGGCATCCCGACTGTTCTCATGAAGCACATTAGTAGAGGTGCGCTTCTTAGAAATCTGCTTGTGCACCTTTGTCAAGGTAACAGGCATGGTTGCGGGCTGATGACAAGAATTACTCCAAACACTCCGCCGTGGATTTCGACGATAATTTTCGTGGATGCAACGGCATAATTAAGCGGTGAACCCCCAAATCACCGCCTTCCCCACTCGAGGAAAGCGCGTCTGCGCGTCGAGATAGGCATTCCAGGAGTTATTTACTCCCTCAATCCTTTAACCGGGATTTGTTTTGGACCTGCTATTGCATTCAACATTCATTAGTCTTCTGCCGGTGAAAATCTCAACCTATGTTATCATTCATTGCTTGAATACGAGGACCCGCCTGTCCCTCGAACGGTGTCCACAATGGGCATCAAAGGTATGTTAACTTTGTGACTGTCTAGGGGGAGATGAATGGCAATTCTAACACAGACAAATAGGACTGCACGGGCTTCTCAAGTCCATTCAGAAACCATGTCACATTAAGAATTTCAATGGGCAAACGCTTGGAGTCGATGCATATGGATGGCTGCATCGAGGGACTGTTGCTTGTTCAGTGGATTTGGTCCTGGACAATCCGACGAGAAAGTATGTCTTTCGGTATTTTATCCCATGAACTGTTAACTGACAGTTCCATCTTATGACAGACACATTGATTTCGTCCTCAACCGAGTCCGCATGCTTCTTTTTTTTGGAGTGAAACCCTACCTCGTTTTTGATGGCGACAATCTGCCCAGCAAGGCAGGCACTGAACAGGATCGCTACAGACGGCGCCAGGAAAGCAAATGCCTTGGACTGGAACTACAACGGAAAGGAAGAATGGCGGAAGCTTACCAAGAGTTCCAAAAGGCCGTCGACGTGACACCCTACATGGCTCGCCAGTTAATTGAGGAACTGAAGCAAATGAATGTGCAGTATGTGGTGGCCCCGTACGAGGCAGATGCCCAGTTGGTGTACTTGGAGCAACAGGGTGACATTCATGGAATCATATCCGAGGACTCGGATTTGCTTGTCTTTGGAGCCAAGCGATTAATTTCCAAATTGGATCAACACGGGGAATGCATTGAGATAAACCGCGCCGATTTTACTGCTTGTCGCGAAGTCAGTTTGGTTGGCTTCAGTGATCCCGACTTCAGAAACATGTGCATTTTGAGCGGTTGCGATTACTTGGCAAATATCCCTAAGCTGGGGCTGAAGACTGCCTACCGGATTATTCGCAAGCATCGGAACGTTGAGAAAGCCCTGCGCATGCTCCAGTTTGAGGGTAATTTTCGAGTCCCAGCCGACTACCTTGCCAACTTCAAACAAGCCGAGTTGACCTTCCTTTACCAACGGGTCTTCTGCCGCAAAGCTGAAAAGCTAGTGACTTTGACACCACCTGAGAAGGATACCAATTTGGCCGCGCTTCCATATATCGGCGCCGATATGGAGCCGGAAATTGCCATCGGAGTTTCTCGTGGCGATTTGGATCCAACCACTAAGGAACCAATTATCCTAAAGCCACTGGCCGCAGGTAGATGGTCCCTTGGTATTAATCGCCGCCAGACATTGGGTACTTCCTCTGAGTTGAAGCCAAGGAAGTCCATCAATTCGTTCTTCACTCCCAAGAGGACACCGCTGGCCGAGCTGGACCCTAACAGCCTAACTCCGTCTCCAAGCCAGCAGCGACTCCTAGAGCGAAATGTGAGCAACAGCTGGCAGGTCAATGCAGCGCCCTTCCGCTCCAACTCGGTCAGGTCCACGCCTCCCAGGGCGTTTTCTGACCAAGGCCTCAGCCCTATGGTTCGGAGTGTGGAACGCTCCTCTTTTCTGGCCCAAAGTGCAAGATCGTCGGCCTTGCAGTGCACAAAGAGGCAGAGGCTGTGCTCTGAGGCTGAGGGGGATTCTCTGCCTGCTTGTCCCCCTGCTCGCAGTCGGTTCTTTGCTCAAGCCAGCCCTAGTCCCCAAGATCTCTCCCGGTCTAAACGGTCACGCAAATCAGTGGTCGGTGTCTTCTCTGATGAAATTGCAGAAGACATCATGAGCAGCATTCCAAATCCCAGTACTACCCCTGGGCCTGCCGAGTCTACAACTGAGAGAAACCTTGAGATATCCGACAAGCCCAGTGAAGTTGATACCCCTTCTAAACCTACCTCCGACAAAGTCCTTGTGACAGAGAACCTCGATGTATCTCAGAATAGTCCTAGGGATAACACACCGAACTCCCCAGGTTTTAGTCTGGCTCTTGACTATCACGTTGACCGGCAAAACTCGAATTTACTTTCCAAGTTTACTTTTCAAGCTGGGCAAAAGCCCGAAACAACCGCAGCTAGCTCTACCATGACTAAGATTCCTGCGGTTCAGACTTCCCATAGACCTTCAACGCCCTCGACCCCCAGAAGCCCAGCTGCGATTGCACGGAGCAACGTCTTCCATCGACGCCTGACGCCGCTCCAGCGGATGGGACAGTCCGCTCTCAGTCGATCTAACAGCATCAATATTCCTACTAAACTCCGGGATGCCGAAGCTGTTGAACCTCGGACTGAAGCTTCTTCTCCTATCGTGCATAAGGTGTCCTCTTTCGCGGGAATCCAAGGCAGCGAAGATCTCATTGTCCCAGACAGTGAGGATGAAGAGGACGAGGATGAGCCCAGCACAGGGTACTCAACCACTCTTGATCTGAAACGCTTTGCTTTTGCCGCGAATTAGGCTGCACCTCTATCTGATTACGGAGCATAGAACAGGAACATCGGATTTTGGTATCCGGGGTAGCATTGGACCACTGATTTGGTAGGTTCCACTTTAGCGCGTAACTTGTGTTTATACGGAGTACTTTAGTTGGGTTTATTGTTTGACATAGCGTTGGTTAGAGCATACTGGAAAACCTGAAACATTGAAACGTGCCCGATCGCTAGCTTGTAGGTACTCCGTGCATCGAAGTGCATCATGTAGACGGCCCAATATTGAAGAGGCTGGATGAATCGCGTGGCTTGTGGATGTGGGGCGAAGGTTATCGAGATCTGCACTAGTCCAGATCGGGACTAGAGCGGCCCTGGCTTTCCCGTGTCCGGCGGCAGAAATACCCACACGGAAGGCGGTCTGCGCTGGTTACCGGGGAAGCGGGCGAGTAAACAAGGGCGTTGGCCCAGCCTCCCAGATTTTCCTATACAACTTTGCCTCATCCCCAGCCTCCAGAGAGATTCAGAGAATCGGTCAATTAGCCTGACGTTGAGTTTTGTGCCATTTACGATCCCTTCTTTCCATCCCTTCCATTCTTTCTACACATTCTATCTCTCCCATATACTTCCCACCTGTACTACACAGGCGTCAAGTCATATCATAATATCTGACCCATCTGGATAATCCACTCTAGGTGCAAACCGGATTCCACAATAATATCAAACATCTTGGAGTTTGTTCTAGGTATTCTCAGCATTGAATACGTCAACGATCCGATCTTTATCCTACTCTCCGCATTCTTCATCTACATTCCATTCCAACGATCTCGATCTCGATTCAACGGTCATCGCAATCACACGAACCAACAACAAGTGTGCCACTGGTGTACAATTCAGTTCGGTGATCGCATTCAATTCAGGCAACTCCTTCTCGGAGACCCGAGAAGCGAGTCAACAACAAATTGAAGGAGTCTGACCCCGACGTGGTCTTAATTGCACACAATGGCTGCTGGCTTTGCTCAAAGATGGGCCCGTAAGTGACGACATATCGAAAGAGAGCAAACAATGGCATTGTTGCTAATTCTCTATACAGGGTTCATTCCAATGATTGGGTACCACCACGTGTTGATGATTATTATCGCAGTTGCTATTATCATATTATGTGAGTGCTTGTCCATTGCGCCCTCTACTGGAAAGTCGCTAATACAATGCAGCACTTCTGTTGGCCGGCTGCTCTTCATCATCTCCACAGATGCCCACCATCTTCCTTATCTCCCTATACTACGAGAAGTATAACCCCATTAGGGATCTTGCACAAGTCGACCCAGGGGTTGTCACTGCCCTCTCCAATATTGTCGGCGGTGCGGAGTTGGAAGTCCGAGTGGGATACTTTGGTATCTGTATTCAGCCTGATAAGGGTTCTTTCATCTGCAATGCCAATGCGACGGCGCTGGCTGAGATTGTCACGGTGGATCAAGATCCACTAAATCTGATCTGGGTTGCTTCAACGTTCAAAGATGCCGTTGTGTTTCCGTATCTCCTGTGAGTAACTGCAATTCCTTAACGCCAGACAAAACTAATTCTCGTGCAGGATTGTTGCTGTCATTCTCGCATTCTTCTGTTTCATCCTTCTGGCGACATTCCCTGGCTGGCACGAGGAGGTCGACGAAACTGGATCCGAGCGCGAAGTCAAGCCTTTCCCCTCTCGCCCCGTCTCCCAGGCTGCGCTAGCCCTCATTTTCGTTTCCTCGGTATTCGTTCTTGTGTCCGTATTATGGCAGCACACGGCATCTGTCGCTGCCAGTACGATAGCCCAAGACATGGGCAATGGAAGTGTGAAAAGCGGCGTCGGCTCTTCTGCAATGGTGCTTGGCTGGTTTGGCTTTGTACTACTGGTGATAGTCACTGTTGGTTTGCTGGTCATGATCTTAAGTATAAGTCTGATTCGCAAACTGACCGATGAGGAATAATCAAACCATCCTCAACGCCGACGCAAAAAACACTTGCGCTCTTTGCTTTTTTTTTTTTCGCGACTTGCTTACACCTACTTCTTCTTTGCCTACGACATACCCTACCCTTATAACGGGACGACACAAATGGAAATGAATAATACCTACGAGCACACGACACTGGCTCGCAATTCACGGATGGATGGGAACGGAACACACGACACTTGGGACATTATGATTTCCCCAAGGGGAATTTGGGACTTGCACACTTGGATTTTACGAACATATTTGAGGACATGGATCCTCGCAGGCTTTTTATTCTTAGGATCTGACTGAGATATTTTTGTCGTTTCATCTCAAGACCATATTTGGCAGCTCTGCCGATCTGCCGATCTGCCAGGATAGAATGAATGGAATGCGATCGAGTCACATTTTGTACAGATCTCTTTTGCTTGAGTGGACTTCCGTTTTACGTTCAGCACACGGCGTTTTTTTTTTTTTTTTGATCGGATCATGTATACCACAGCCTCTTGTTCATTCCACGCTGTGTTCACTTTTTCACTTCTCACGCAGGACTGCAAATGCTAGATTAGTTCTTACGACACAATGTCAAAAATGATACCAAAGTCAAGCCTCCATTCATAACTCAATCTCTCCAATAATCTCCAATAAGTGACATTGGATATCAAAAGCCCTTTCGCATTAGTTTATATCTACAGGAATGATGAATGTTCTTGGCTACCATTTGCTACAAGACTACGTTTGGATATCATCTATAACATCAGGAACTATGAATATATTCAATGTCTGATTATCATCTGCTTCTAGAAAGTTGTGCCTCAAAAACTCGTCAAAGAGATGCCAGCTGTTAAAGAGCACTCCCAGTAACCGGACGCTGGTGACAAGCAGGCTTTCCTCGTCAATGCTACCTGCAGGACACAATGCAGGCAAAACCGATCAACAACGAAGAAAGGATATAAAGCGGAATCAGTATATATTATAGACGTCAATCATTGCATGATCCCTTGCCATCAATTTGCGTGAATTCCGACAAATGGCAGCTCAGAGCTCATCACTAAACCCTATTTCTGGATATACTAGCCTGCTGCCAATTCTGACAGCTGCAGCAGCAGAAGAAGCGTCCTGCAGAACGTTAGGCGAACAAATCGTTATGAGTCCCTCATGAACCTAGTTAAAGCCCTAACAATCAACGTTCCGAGTCTGGACTCCCGATGGACTTCACCCCACAGGCACTGTGTCTTTGGCGTATACAGCCCACTGCGTATAGATTTCATTCGACAACAGCGAAGGTTTCTCTCATCCTTCAAGATAACCATTCGGTGGGATGTTTTTGGTCGTAACCGAATGAATCTCACCAAATGGCTATCTCGAGGGCTGCAATATCCGTGAGACCTGTCTCGTTGTAGAGTGAAAGCCGTACCCAGTGGGTGCCAAATGGTTTACGGGCGGAAGCATCGAGAATCCAGACTCGGAACGTTGATTGTGAGAGTTTTCAGGAGGCTGATCAGCGACTCATAACGACTTGTTTGCCTACCGTTCTGCCGGACCATTCTTCAGCTGCTGCAGCTGTCAGAATTGGAGGCAGGCTAGTATATCCAGAAATAGGATTCAGTGCTGAGCTCTGAGCTGCCACTTGCCGCACCACCTCACGCTGCTGATGCATGGGATAGAGTCGATCGATTCTCTCCATCAGACACTTTCAGCCACTGGCCAATTAGATTTGGAGGTGATCGATTAAATACCTGGATGAGACAGCAGATAAGCAGGTAATCGACATTTGGTAGAGCCACGATGTGCTCGGGTGTAAGATGGAAGTACCAGAGCATTGCCTTGGTCGGTGCGGGAATGATCTCTTGGAAGATTTCAAGGATCTGCAGGCGAACAGTTCCAAATTGATCCGTAAATTCACCACATAGCCATGCCTCCTCATTTTCCTCATTTTCCGGACATGAACTTCACGGATTCCTCTGTCGCATCTGTCAATTCGGACAGCTCCGACTCATCGTCAGGATTGACGATGGGTATTTGGGGGAAAAGTAATTCAAGGGTATGTAAACGAAAGATTGAGGTTGATTCCGTTATCCTTATCGTCGTCGTCATGGAGAAGATGATCTGCGGAGCGGACTATGAGTCGTCCGTGGCATCAAGTTGATATAAATATATATGTATAGAAAGACATCATTCTTCACACCTGCTCAAGCTTTGACGAGAAGGCAAACTGGGAAAGAAACCATGAGTCGAATCGAGCGAGCTGACTGTGTGTGTGTGTGAGAGAGAGAGAGAGGGAGAGAGGGAGAAAGGAAGATCAAATAGAGCAGAATTCCTATCTGCCCTAGGCAGCAAGGCTGCCTCAACAAACAAAATTCTCTTAAGATAGAAGTTGCGGTGAGAAAAGTGTTTGCCAACCGTCTGACATATTCTAGTATTGACTGACCACTGCTTCACCTAGAAAAGAGAAAGAAAGAAAGACCAGCCTTCAGACCACTTCTATCATATCCCACAAGGAGATATAGTTCGTACAGCGGGAAATGACAAGCTGCACAACCAGCAATTCATTGACGAACTAGCACTCAGGATCCTGGCACTCCTGGATGGCCAGGAACTGAGGCAGTTTCGGGAATTTCTCTAGGGTGTAGGTAGCATTCCGAGAACTCGCTTTGTTCCCAACGGGACCGAACGTTATAGGTTTCACGAAAGTGAGGGAGGAATTCATTGGCCAATTCCTGGTTCTGCTTGTTGTAGGGAGCATTCATGCGAGACATCTGAGCCTGTTGGAAAATGGTGTAGTCGGTGGCAGCTTCCGAGTAGTCCTCGATGAGAAGGAAGTGCTCGATCTCGGTATGAGCAGGACGTGGCGTCAAATACTTCATCGTAGCAAATGTATTCCTTCCTGCAGTCATCGCAGCAGTTGGCGCAGTAATTTAGAGTGTAGTTTCGAACGCCGATGTAGTTGGTCGGCTCCCACTAAGAGAGGAAGTAAGTAGGCTCGAGATCGCATCACTGTTGACTACACCTATGAAACTGTCGCTCACGCTATTAATAAGTACCGAGAACATGCAATCTGGCAACGGTCTTGGAGGCTCGATCCCACCGACTCGAGTGTCTTCCCACGTCATGACTGTCTTTTGCGCCATGGCTTTTAAGATTCTGATGCCGTTCTGGCAGACTTCCATCCTAGGTGTTCGAAGTACTGATAACCGAAGTCTAGCATCGATCATGCGACAGGAAACTTTTAGTTTGGACCTATTTTGGGATGGCCTTGAAGTTGGCATATCGATGCAATAGACTACAAGTATTCAATGGAAGCCGACTTGGGATAATAGAAAGTTACAGGTAATGCCGAAGACCAGCCCGCGGGTCAGCCTTCCGAAACTGCGGCTTTGGAGACTCCAAATACAGGTTGAATGATCAATAGTCCATGGAGTAACCCCCCTGCCTGCACCTCCGCCACCATTGTGTCCATTCTTGCTGTCGTGTTGCCCGTCGTTTCCAGTGCTATGATCATCCAGCGACCTGTACTGGTAGTATTCACCTCGACCACGACCTCGGCCGCGGCCTCGGTTATTGTTACCGCGCCCGCGTCCGACACCTCGGCCACGTCCACGATGAGCTCCTCTTCCTCGCGGACTATCATCATATTGGTGACGTCCATCACCTCCGCCGCGCTGGGAGGAGTGATAGTTGCCGCGGCCATAAGATGGGCCATCAAAGCCGGTGTTTTGATTGGGCCAGACGACATTTCCGTCGTCCGGCTGAAAGCGTCTCTTTTGACTCCTGTTCAAGGGTTGCTCTCCTTGACGATACTCTCCACTGTCCTCAACTCGTAGGACAACCTTCTCGCCGACCACAGTCTCAAAGGTCATGGCTTTGTCAGCCGGAATGGGGTGCCAGTTTTGGATCTTCCCTGCATCGATGAGGCGAGCACCTTTGCGAACAGCCAGTACTACAATTGGCAGTGGGTTCTCCGTGTGATAAGGCTCCGTCGCTGGGATAGGTGCCACGCGGGCTGCCCATATCTTGTTGTCCAGGTTTCCGGTTCCGGTAACCTGCCACTTTAGTTTCTTACCCAGGCCTCCAACCTTGTCCAGGATTGAACGAGGTGCTGGGCGTGGGGTGATTAGGATGCTGTTAGCCATGTACTTCAGGTCATTTGATTCACCAAGCCCTGGGGGGAGTAGTGGAGCCAGCAACTTCTGCGTCATGCTGTTTGAAACCTCTGGAGAAACCAGATACCCCGTGTAGAAGACGACCCGCTTGATATACATCCGCCCTGAGCGGCTCTTGGTTACATTCAAAGCAGGGTTCCGCAGTGTAAGGTTGTGGGAATTGACCATGCGCTGCACCTCAGAAGCCTCAGTTACGGGGTCAAGGTATGTGCTGCCCTCGGTTACCTGGATAACTTCAGCAAGGATAGGCATCCGTGCAGTAGCGGGTCCATTTTGAAGGTCTCTGTTCAGACACTCAAAGAAGTCTCGGAAGCCTTTCACACTAGCAGAAGGTTAATACTTTGATATGCTCGGATTCTCCAACTCAGTTGCCACAGGACTTACTGTCTGATACGGTCCTCGTAAACGCGAATTTCCGCAGCCTGCTCGTAAGTGAAAACAAGATCCTCGAGAAAGTTCTGTTTGAAGTTCATTGTCGTCGCAAACCGTTGACCATGTGGACCAACTTCGGGTTTGAGACCAATTAGGTCGAATTCAAGACTTTGACTAGCGACCATCCGCTTGATGACTTCTGAGAAGCCGGCCTCACTTCGACCGGTCAGCAACACCGTGAGCGCATCTTTCTGCTCCATGCTATTCCTAACCAAACTAAGCTTCAAAAAGTCAGCTCAAAACACCCGCAACATGTAATATGTGATAGAAGGCACACAATTTGCTCATTCCACCAGCCTTCCCATTTGCGGGGCTCTTCTATCTCCATGCCTTTTCCTGTAGCGGCGAGAATGTTGGAGTCGTGCCACCATCCTCCAGTTGCGAAACTATCATTGGTTTGAAGGAAGCCGACTGAAGAGCCATGCCATAATTGTGGGTTTGGTAGAGGACTTAGAAATACTGAAAGTGCGAATGTTAGAGTCGAGTGTCAGACCATCCTAAGCTTTGCATATGCTCACAGGTGTTGTCGAAATCGTAGACGTGAATTGCGCGAATTTGAGAAACAGCTGGAAAATAGGGGAGCTGTTAGAATTATGACAGGAGAGTGGACCGTAGTGAGATCGAACCTGGCAGCTCCTTGTTCACAATAGACCAGCGCCGTAGCGAGGTGATCGTATGCGGACGATTAATCCCGCTTCCAGTGCTGTACGACATATTGGCAGCAGAGCCAAATCGTGCAAGGTTCTCTGAAACGACTGCTTTGGCAGATCGCATTCTATCAGGTTAAGGGGAGATATGTCGTTAGCGCATAGTTGGGGGAGAAAGAGGGTTGAAGTCGCAAAAACGAGCAGGCGCGGTGACGGAGCTCCCGAGAAATCGGGTTTGCCGCCGAGAACGCGATAAACGGGACAAACGTGACTTCGAGAATTCAACACCTGCAACCCACCCCTAGCATGTCGCCTGTATGGATGATGTCGATTTGCGACAGGAAATCCTCCAGCAGACTCTTAAAGAGGTAGCTGGTGAGGAGAAAGAGGCGGCAAATCCTTGTGTTATTTGCCTAGACACTATCACCGAGCCCTGTGTGGCACAGCCATGCCACCATGCCAACTTCGACTTCCTCTGCCTTGTTAGTTGGATCGAACAGCAGCCTAAATGCCCGCTATGTAAGAAACCAGTGGGCAAAATACCCCGACTAGACCTGACTGACAATCCAACAGGTAAAGCCGAGTTGACAGCGGTGCAATACGAACTCAACGCCACACAAGGTCCGAAGCTATACAAGGTCCCGCCTCCGAGCGCAACATTCCCGACAGTTCCAGTTACTAGTCGATCACGTCCTGGCAATCGGTACGGCCCGCGAGGAGGGCGACGTCCTCCGCCCCCGCCGCGACCACAGCCAGATGACCCGCTCGAGCGCCGGCGCAATGTCTATCGCAACCAAACATACTCCATGCGAGTCGGGTCCAATCGGTTGTCTCAGTATCGAGAACTGACGCCAGACCTCTTCGCTCGTGACGAGGAGCTCGTCTCGCGTGCTCGGAAATGGATTCGCCGCGAACTACGAGTCTTCTCCTTCCTGAATCCGGAACCGGAGCATGAAGAGCGGATATCTCACCAGGTTTCGCGTCCTGGACCTCAGCGGCTAGAGAATCGCAGGGCGAATAATGCCGAGTTCCTGCTAGAATATGTCATCGCTATCTTGCGCACGGTCGATCTCAAAGGCAGTGCTGGACAAGCGGAGGAGCTGTTGCGTGATTTCATCGGCCGCGAGAATGCCTGTCTGTTCCTCCACGAATTGCAAGCGTGGCTAAGAAGTCCATATAATTCTTTAGAGGACTGGGATCGTCATGTTCAGTACTCGAATACTCCGCGAAGTATGTCTGACGGAGGATATAGGGATGGTCGCTCGGGTCATAGACCGACTCCTGTGAACAATCGGAGTAGACCACAGAGGTCCCGAAGACCATACAGGTCCAGGTCCCAAGATGCGATTGATCGCTCCAGACGGCTGCAGCAAGCTCAACAGCGATATAATCCATATTAGATGTGCAACTAGAAGATGTGCAACTAGAAGATGTGCAACTAGAAGATGTGCAACTAGAAGATGTGCAACTAGAAGATGTGCAACTAGATATGAAGAAGCAGTTACATCCATATTATTGTTGATAATTGTCTAGGGAAATAATCAATCTCTGGTTCCCACGTTAAACCGTTTCAGAATTTGTGCTTTTCATTTAGGAACAATATTTTTTCTCATGCCAACTCTCTCTTCGAGACTTCGAAGTCGATGAAGTACTGTACCTAAATCTGGGGGATGAACATAATCCCGGATTATGGGCTCCGCCGTGGGAAATTGGACATAGCCAATGGGTAAAATACTACTAGTTTTTAGGCTGGTTCTGCATTTCCCTGGCAGTTGAGCTGGTACTATTATTCAATTGCGGTATCGATTATTTCAGTGTTTAGTACGTAGTTCTCAGATCTGGACAGGCAGGGTAGAGGGCTCGGGGGTATTGATGCGCTATGAATATCTGAGATATGAGATGCTATGTAGTTATGCTAAATATGAATGTATTGATGTAGTCGTCTCTCCATCCACGAATGAAAAACAAGTAGGGCTGACCGATTCTTACTTCCGGCGGAAACGCCCTCTACCCCGAGAGGAACCTCCTCTGTTGATGCTTATTGATCGATAGTTCGCATGAGCTTCGGCTTTGATCTTCCGAGGACGAGGTTTCTTTGCTTCAACAGTCTCAGCAGGCTTCTTCGGAGGTTTCCCCATGGGTTCTTGTTCCTGTGGCTTCACGGAAGAGGATGAAACAGCTTCCTTGATTCTCTCCGAGAAACTCTTCGGTCTGGCAACAGGCTTTGGCTGTTCTGCGAATTCAGGGTCATTGTCCGAGTCGGAATCAAACTCGGCCTCGGTATCAAGCTCGGGCTCCGACATGGTATGAAGGGAAGCGGCCTCATCCGCCCGTTCAATGTCACTCGGGACATCATCCCAGCCGTCACTAGCAGCAGGTGGCTGTTGCGTCTCCGGAACTGCTACAACATCATCTTCATGTTCCGAGTCCTCATTCGCAGGAGCTGGGTTTGGTTTGGGTTTGGGTTTCGGCTGATGAATAACCGGCCTCATAATCACTCGTCGCGTCGTCCGTTTCTGGCCCTTCTTCTTGTATTTCCGGTTCACATCTGGTCCTTGACTATCCTCAACCTGGATCTTGGCAGCTTCTTCCGCCTCTGCCTCTTCCTCCATCTCGCGCATCACATCCCAGTCGTCATCCATACGCTCCTCCTCCATATCCCGCAGTCCTTGGACTAAATGCGTTAGCCCCTTGCTGGCAAATCTTTGCGGCTTACGCGAGACAATAGGACTGAGTCCTGGACCACCATGCTTTGCGCTAAGTGGAGGATATCGACCAGAGTTGGACCGACGGAGGAAAGATGGTGTCCCAGATTGCGCTTCCTGGGGTGATATTTCATGCGCCGGGTTTAGCAGATTTGTGCTCTGTGAATCTGCATTATCGGTCGCTTCCACCATGGCGGCATAACGCATTGTCGTCGGTGTTGCGAATAGATTTGCAAGATAGAACTGTTTGGTCTCGGATGCAGGGGTTCGCGCAAGCCTAGGCGTCTCCTGCTGAGGCTCTTCTTCCGGGGCCTCGGGGTTTGTGCTTACGGGCTTTCGTTTGGAGGGTGTGCGGAATGCGGCAGCTAGGTTATTCGTTCGCCTTGTGGCGGAAGGCGTTCCACCACTCCCGCCAGATTCAGATAGCATGTCGAACAGGCCCAATGTCTTTCCGTCACGCTGAGGCGTAGGCCCAATTGCGGCCTTTAATGGCGATGGTGCTGGTAGTCCTTGCCGGTGTGTACTGGGACTAAAGAGTCTGCGAAGAGTCGACGGCGAGTCATACGGATCCAGTTGTGCAGGGTGGTGCTTGGTACGATTGTTGGATGGAGTCGCAAAGAGCCCTCTGGACGATTTGCGGGGTGTGACTTGGAGAGATGTACTATCCTGACTGGGGGGAGATGCATGTTTCCGCTTTTTCGAGTGGCTTTCATATCCCTCCTGTCGACTGTTTTCGCGCCGGCTTAGAGATGCTTCAAGGGCCTTGAGGCGACTGTATTCCTTGTATTTAGCAGCTAGTGCATCGAAAAGTTTTTCTAATTAGTGATTTATCTTTTTGAATATTATGCAGCACGAGATTATCGACCTACCGATATCCGCGTTTTGTTTGATATCATCGCGTCCAGCTTTGCGGCCCCTATTGGCTGACGAGAAGGCTTTCTCCCACGTTTTCAATTCGGCGCGAACATTGACAGCTTGTGCACCGACCTCAGCACTGGAAGTCAGAACGTTGCCGGCCATTATTGCATTGTATGTGGTATCAGACAACCTAGAAGAAGAGCAGTCCGTAAATCCATCGATGCGCGTCACGCGACGCGAACTGATTAACGACAAGATTGGTAGGCGGTCTAATTCTGCAATTATCAATCATTTCAATCAACACCACGGAGTAACTACTCCTTGGAAAGGATATGTTCATCGGCTTAAGTTGCCCAAGGTAATAAAATTGTGGCTTTTAGGGATATGTACTTTCACCCAGGAAAAGGAACGCCGAGGATCATCCATCATAAGTGGTACATTGTAGCGCATTCCCTACCAGCTACCCGTACGACCACTCGGGGTGGTGGCGCATACGGTTTATAGTTTGCTGAGCGTAGACGAAGCAATATTTATCCTAATGTGACCTAATATAGCTCAGACATAGACCTTAAGGTGTTTGAACCTACGCCCCCCCCCCGGCAAGCCTAGGGGGGTACGTAGATAGTCACTACCGGCAATGATACAGCGAATTGGAAGTATTTAAGGGCTTTGAGATCTCCAGCGGCCAATGTCTTGTCTTTTAAGTACATATCTAGGCTCATACGTGTGGATTGATACGTAGTTAGGTTTTGTGTTGTTGGTGTCTTTTTCTAACTGACTAAAAGCTTGTCGTAACAGCACTTTGCTCTAGACGAGACACAGCTCTGGCATAATGGCTTTCTAAGATCGCATTTCGCCCGGCGTTGTTTGCAAGGATAATACGAGCCTTGAACTGTACGCTCATTTCGGGGGCATAGTTGTACGGTTGTCATTGTGGTACAACACGAAGGAAGTGAGAAAAAAGTGGGAGTCATCGTACTAGGAACCTGGGAAGGCCTTGGTCAAGATAACCGAAGCAGAGACGCGAAGAACGGTACCTAGCGAAAATTGACGGATGTTCCAACTGCTCCACGTGCGAAGGACTAAAGAAGTGAAGCCATCCCTCCTTTCGTAGTCGCAACAGAAATATTGGGATTACGGGGCGATGACCCCACGAAAAACTGTTGCCTCATCTTCATCCCCGACAAGCGAGCCATACCAAATACCAAAGGCCGCTCCACTGCCGACTCCACAAACCAGGGACCCCATGCGACCCCATTCTCCGTCTCCATCTGCATCTCCACGTTAAAGCAAGGAAGAAGATCCACAGCTCCGTCGGCACCACTGATCTCTTCCATCCAAACCTGAGGCATGTACGAAGGGCATATCATCGCGAGGCTCATAGTCTCGTGCTCAAAGATTGTGAGCATGTCACTGCCCGTATCATTTAGCATGCTGATATGGAAAAGGGCGCCATTACCACCTTCCGATAGCGGAAGACGGATACACGCTTTGAGCTAAAGCCAAAACCGCGTTTAGAGGATAGTTCAAAAAAAAAAGGGAAAGGGCGACCTCGTGTCCATGAATGTAAGGGCCATGTCCATAGCTGGCCTTCTGTACACATTGCTGCGAGGTATGGTTCCCGCGCTATGTTATATTAGCGATAACAGAAAAGATAATAGAGATTAGATCAAGCTTACCTCGCAGAAATACGGCTTCTTGGCCGCAATACACTCTTCTTGGCTGGCAACACGCCCGTCGACCACAAATACCTCGTCGTTCACCGTGATTGTTCCGTTTTGATAAAGCTCAATCACGGTGGCGACATTCTTCGCTTGATTTGGGCGGTAGAGAGGGTCATTCGGATCAAGCACGCGCGCAAGAGCGGCAGCTCTCTGCTCGTTGGTGGGTGGAGGGCGAGGCAAGCGGGGCCGCTCCCAGAATTCAGCGGGAGATTGTTTCTCGGAATTCTGATCGGATTCTTCGGGGGTTGGCGACATTTTGGATTTTGTAAAATGGAAGAGAAGAAGCAAAGGAGAAGGTCTTCACTGAGTTGACGAAATGGTTAGATTCAGACCGCCTACCAATTGTAGGTCGCTCTTTACGCATGTGACGGTTTCCGAGTAGCACGGCGAGGAGCAAACATCGTTCGATAAGAGAATGAACTGCCTGGCTTCAGTCGGGGAGCAGCTTCGAAATATTAATTATAATCACACGTCATTTTCGCTTCTGTTGGTCGCAGTCTTTCTGCTCTATTATCTAGACAGCTATATCGAATGTGGTCATCAATCTGCGTCTACGGCACCTCTCCCCCGAGCAGTGCCTGTTCGAGGATAATTCACTCGGTACTAGATTATAAGAAGCAATTCGTACCGTAGCGACTCCAGAAGAAGGATATTAGAGTTTAAAAGAGTGAAAGTTGCCTTGAAGCATGCTCCGAATAAAAAAAAACGATCTGATTTGATCACTGTGGTTCCTGGTGCAATGCAAGAGACAGAAAAAGAGCGAAAAGGATTTGATACATAAAACTGACCATTCAACTCTCGCCCAAAGAGCCCTGTCTTCCCCTATTTCCCTCGCTATGAATGCATTAAAGATCGCCATTTGAATCAAAGCTAAATCTAGCACTATTATCTTCCCATTACCAACTCGTCAACCCTTTCACCCGATCAAACCCACCCCTCAACTGCGACTCAGGATGCACAACCTTCCCCTGAAGAATAGTGTACTTAACAATGCCCTCGCAATGCTCAGGCCGCACACGCGCAAGCCAAATCATCTGCTGGTCCTTCTTGCGATAGATCAAAACATTCGCAGAGAACTTGTGCCCGCCGACATGCGATACGAAGAAGATGCCCACCCCACCGTCCCGGGAGTCATCCGGATCCCGGTCGAGTCCCAGCGGACGGAGATGTCGCTCCAGCTCGCGCTTGATTAGTGGTGCTGTAATACCACAGCGCGCGTCTCGGCGTCCGTGCGAGCACAGTAATACCACGTAGTCGAGTTCACAGGCTCGAGCGCTCATTCCATTCGCGGGAGAGCCATTTTGCTGGTCGCTAGGATGATCGATGTATCTAGCTATCAGATCTGGGACGTCTTTTTGCGTGACGGAGTCGACGTATGTGAATGACGGGAGAATTAGTACTGTGGTGGCTTGGGTGGGACTTTCGTCTGTGGTTGGCTGTTCTGGAGGGGTGAGATTTGATGCTGACACCTTGATACGCTAGATCGGGTGTTAGTGGTGGTAGGGTATATTGGTGGTAGGGTATATTTCAATTAGAAAGCTTACACCGTGGTCTGATTTTGCCCCGTCGAATGCTTCCATCAAGCTTCCTGTCACATTTTCGACATTCTTCTCCTTCCAGTCGGATTGCCCCGTTGCGACGAGAACATGGGTCTGGAATTCTTTGATATCGCCATAAAGAGGCCTTGAAGTCTCGACTTTGACTTTTGACGGGAACTTCACTGTGCAGTCGGCGCAGTCATTTAAACATTCGGGGCCGTCCGTTTTGGGATCCACTTTAGGAAAGAGGTAGTCGTGGGTGCCCGCGCGGCCCAAGGAAAGCAAGGAACGCAACATGGTTGGAGGTCTAATAGCGCTGTGAAGGCAAAGTTGAAAATTGAAAGTTAAGGCTATGAGACGTTTTTGAAGTTCAGGGTTGCCTCCAGGGCTGGAAATGTGGAGATAGATATAGAGCTCAGTATCTCCGAGAGACTATACTCCGTACTCCGAGCCGGGTCGAAAAACCCGAACCCCGAGCTAATAGGGTTATCTCCAGACTTGGGTCTCTGGTGTTAAGTGGAGATGATTATACGAGACCCTTTTTTATCTCGGGGCTGGCTTTTTAGTTTAGACTGACGGCCACTTAGAGTCCATGTATTTGATCTACATCTAGCATGTGAAAGGAACCTTGGGAGCTCGCATCCTGCTAACTTCAGGGCACTGCATTGATCCCAATGAGGTGTACAGCCCAATCTTATCAGATCCCTCAACATCAACCTCAAGTTTAGCCACGTTGAAGAATGACACATACTGCTATCTGTGACATCTATGAGCATTAGCACTTGTGCTTTGTATCGCATCGAAAATATTGTTTGAAGCAAGGTATAATAGAACAACTGGCTCCCGACGAGGGTAGCACTGGTGTAACGGGCTTGACGCCCGATCCAACCTCGGCGTCGGGGTGTGTTCAGGCCAGGCCCATAGTCATCAGATGGAACAATAGCTGTGCATGGAGTACTATACAGTTACTCTTACGAGCAAGGCGAGAAAACCAAGGGAATCAGGTTCCATGTACGTATACAACATATAGGGGCAGTGTTGACATGGACCGTGGTGGTGATTATGGCTATTCTCGTGATTCGAAACTAGACCAACATCGGGAATATCGCGTGTCGTTGGTGCCCAGATATTGCCAAGGGATGCAGTTGCCCATTCGCAATGCTTGAATGCTTTCCGATAGGCCTTCGGGGATTTTCAGTTCCGAAATGGCAAAGAAAGGAAGATACCCATGTCCATTCCATGCAAGCCAGTAAACCCCTTAGTGGGGTTTGGATTGTTCACGGAACCATCGGGACTGGGATATGTGGGCCGGGGAAAGTAAGCCCGATAGACAACACGAAGGAAATTGTGAAAGAATAAGAAAGAAGAGAAATTGCTTATTCTTTCATCATTCGAGTGAGATGTATAAAGAAAAGAAGATGAAGACAAACAAAACAAAAAAAAACAAAAATTGCCACGCGACGTCGGTCAGACTTTCCAGATTGGGCGGTTCCACGGGCGCAGAGCGGGACCACGTAAGCGGGAGCTGGAGCCTTATTCCCAGAACTTCTCAAACATCTCGGACGTAAGGTCTTTCCTAAGTATAACCCGAGTTTCCAAGGTTATCTTCAACACCGAGTGCATGGATGTTCAAGGGAATGCCCAGCCCGAACGCGTGCGGAAGCGTCGCCGCCGCACAATGGCGTGCACGCAGTGTCGCACGCGCAAGTTGCGATGCGATCGCGAGTATCCCACTTGCAGTCGCTGTTTAAAAAGCAGAACACCGAACAAATGCACATATGAAGATGGCTTTTTATGGCAGCAGCCCACCACCGTCCCGACTAATGCATTTGCCTCCGACCGAGGGTCTGCGGTACCTATGCCTAGAGATACACCAGTCGACACACCTCGGGATTCGGGGATACCGATGGTGTCAACCCGGCCGGAACCTTTCCCAATTAGTGAACCGTTCCCAACCAGTGAACTACCTCATCTAGCGAGGGCTGGCGGTCCAATGCATCACGAGTACCATGGTCTTACCGGGCATGCCCTTGCGCCGCCCTATCGAAGTCGACCACACGACAGAGAGCGAAAGGACTGCTTTTTGGAAACTGTTCTCGGTGCGCCTAAGGCTGCTGTTAATCAGGAACCTTACCTGAATACGGGTCTTTTACAGCGTCCCAAGCGCCCAGCGCCGGCAGCGGAGCACGATATGCAAACACCGTCGCAGGGCGACGATCCGCACATTGACGAAGAAGAGGACCCATTGTCGCCTACGGACCAGCTCGACCTCTCTCCTCGAATGATGATGAGAGGGCGTGAGACCAAAACGCGGTTTAGCGGATCGGGCATCTTTGCCAGTCTAGTAGCACAGGTCTGCTCTCACCATTTAGATTCTAATTACCAAAATACGGAGGCTGACTATTATTAGTTTCCGGATATAAAGCTATTTGCAGATGAGGTCAGGCTTTCTACCCCAATCTTCACGCAACTTCAGTCAGACCTAAGAAGGGTTAAACGCGGGCTATTGAAACATATGGTGCTCAACAGGCCCTTCCCCGACCCTACGACGGCTTCGCTAATTAACATGCTGCCCTCGCGTGGTGTCGTCGATGAGCTTGTCGGGTTGTACATCACTTATATCGAGTCTACTCACCGCATTCTTCATGTTCCATCCTTCCTACGAGAGCTTGACCAATTTTGGGCCATGTTAGACAGCCCGACATCAATATCTGCTGCCTTTACTGTTCAGGTACTGTTGGTCCTTGCCTGTGCCTGGAACCTTGCAGATTTTGCTAGTCTGCAATCAAAAAGTGCGGGCGAACTCAAGTGCCAGTGTGCAGTGGAGTGGACGTTGCACGCAGGACAGTGGATAGAGAATCTTCACACAAAGCGTCCAGAGATCACATCAATGCGACTTTCGATTCTGTTAATTTTGGCGCGCAACGCCCACGGAATGAAACGCAGCCAGGCTTGGCTCACAACGGGTACATTGGTCAAGCAAGCAATGATGGCGGGATACCATCGCGATCCAAGCCGGTACACACGTATCTCTGCATTCAACAAAGAGATGCGACGGCGAATATGGACAACCATTGTGGAACTGGACCTGCAAATTGCTCTTGACCGGGGAATGCCACCGTCAGTACAAAGCTTTGACTACGATGCGGCTCCGGGGCTGAACATTTACGACGACGAGATCCATGAGGACAGTACTGAAGTTCCCGGAAGCCGGCCATTGAATGAAATTACCGACTCATCGTTCCAGTCTGTTCTGAGTCGCTCACTACCTGTCCGCCTCCAGGCATGTTCCCTCATGCACTCCCCACGCATTAACTGTCGATATGAGAATATTCAGCGCCTGGACGGTGAGCTCAACTGGCATCTTTCTCGGATTCCTGCGTGGGTTGCAGCAGACCCCAGCGACATCATTACACAAAACAAGATCATACTGTGGAAAGGCTTGATTGAGACCAAACTTTGCCAGTCTCTACTGTCTGTCCACACCCCTTTCGCCATTGAAGCACTACAAGAAACACTCTTTGCTCCCTCCGCGCGTACTCGCATGGATGCCGCAACCAGAATACTGTCAACCCAGCGCCGGCTACATGACATTTCGCGCACGCTGTCGCTATGTATGCTTGGTGAATGGACTATCCAAGCCTACATTTCCATCTGCCAAGTGCTACACACAACCGAATTCGATGCCTGTAAGTTTTTTCTACCTACGATTCAATACTTGATATGAGAGCGAAACTGATAATTTGCAGCCCAACCCTCCTCCATCTCCTCTGCCTTTATTATCCACAATATACCCGGTATCCCGGAATCGCTCCTATCACTCGTTGAAACAGCCCTGATTGCCTTGGAGGAGCGCTCCCTTTTGGTGACCAAGGGAGCCAAAGACTATTATTTTCTCTCAACGATCGTCGGACTAGTCAAAGCCCGACTTTGGCCCGCACAGGCAACTATGTACAAGCAGCAGGTTGTCGAGCGGGTCCTGTCATTTGCGCAGATTCTCTTCTCTCGACATATGAACTGCGACCACCTTGGCGATAAGGGGATGGGCAATTTCAAGGACAACCAGGTGGCTGCATTTATGGCGGCTCCAACAATGGTGCCCGTGATGCAGGCTGAATTTGATCCCAGTGGGATGCACCCGCCGCTGCAATCTGGCGGAATGGTGAGTTCCATTATCCTTGGTTCTCGTCTTCTTTTGTGCTAACTGTGAATTTCTAGCCATCTGGCGATTTCGATCCTTTCTTGGACATCTTCGATTGGGAGGATCTGACAAGCATGACATTTCCCTGTTGAATGGAACAGTTCGGCCAAGCTTTGCGTTTTTATACGGACTGTACGATACACGTTTCCACTTTCTGCATTTGCTGTACTCCTAAAATTTGTACAATAGTTGAGCTTGCTCAGGATACCCATGGTAAATACCAAGAAATCTAGTTATGACAATGCGGTTATTCAAACTTCGTTGCGTAATCATGAATATTGTGACTCGATCGGGTCCACCATGAGATCATGGTCGAAGGCATCAGGATTGACAGCATGCAGGGGGTGCAGATCGGACAGAAGAAGATCAATGCCATGCTTAGCACGGATTCTTATTTGCACCCTTACTGACAAGTGCCGAGTCTTATATGGGACTATTTTTCTCTAGCTTTGACGGTTTTGCGTTGCTTTGCCTTGTAAAGTGAAGCCTTGTTTGTTACTGATCGTCATGCTACGTAGCTATTGTGGGGATGATATTCAATAATCGACTTTGCAGATCGGGGTCCAAGGCCTATGCTGTACGAACAAGCTTTGTAGATCATACCGCAGTGTCTTTGCAAGGACAACATGAAACAGAGATATAAGCAATAGGATGGAATAAAAATGCATCTGATACTAATTCATTCTAACGAAAGCCAATCAGAGGACCCTGTACCTGATACTTGCGGGTCTGGTACCTGGCAGTACCTCAGCTCAAGGCATAAAATAGCCCTGGATCAGGTACCCTCGGGTACCATTCCAAATATAGCGACGTCTAAACCCCCTAAAACACTTGGCTTTGGCGCTAACTTGAGGCTCGAGGGCTGTGCTTTTTGGATTTCGCTTTTTTCCTTGCGAGTTGCATATTTATACGGGGTACCATGTGTATCTCTCCGCTTTACTCCACCCGTTCTCTTCCCCTTTTCACTGCATTGACTGGACATTAACCAGAGAGCCATGTGTATCGCGGTCTAATAACCCCTAATTCCCCGGCCAACCAGGCCAATCCCTCTCATGGATATAATCCAATGTACATAACCCGACGATGCATCACCTCCCACTACTCCTATCAATAATCATCGCGGTCGCAGCCCCACTAGCAGGGGCCATCCCAGCCCAAGCCGGGACACACAGTGCGACACAAGTATACCAAACAACCGACAAATACCCACTCGCAAACCCAGGCAACATCCCCGCCCACGACCCAAACATCATCCTGCACGATGAGCACTACTACCTCTTCAAAGGCGGGATCAACATCCCAATTTTCAAATCCGCCAACATATCCGGGCCATGGGAAAAGCTCGGCACAGTCCTAACCGGCGACAGCATAATCCGCAAAGGCAACCGGGCACGACCCTGGGCGCCAACAACAATTGAAAGAAACGGCACATTCTACTGCTACTACACGCTGAGCGCACGGGGGTCCCGTAACAGCGCGATTGGCGTCGCGACGACAACAGCCCTCGACGGCAGTCCCTGGACTGACCACGGCGTCGTCATTAACACGGGCACGGGCGCTGGGTCGGGAGTGTGGCCATACACGATTACGAATGCCATCGATGCGTCTGTGGTTGTTGACCGGGACTCCGGCCAGGCGTATCTCAACTATGGAAGCTTTTGGCATGATATATGGCAGGTCCCGCTGGCGGATGATCTGCTTTCTGTGAAAGATGCCGATAAGCCGGATGCGGTGCAGTTGACGTTTCTCCCGCGTGTTAAGCCTAAGCCTGAGGAGGGGTCGTGGATGAGTTTTCGGGATGGGTTCTATTATGTCTGGTTTAGTCATGGGAAGTGCTGTAACTTCCAGGGTGGGTTCCCTGCGCGTGGGAAGGAGTATAGTATTCGTGTTGGAAGATCGAAGAGTGTGCGTGGGCCTTTTGAGGATAAGGATGGGAGGTCGTTGCTCGATGGGGGTGGCACGGTGGTTTATGGTTCTAATCATGGGGTTGTGTATGCGCCTGGTGGTTTGGGAGTCTTGGCTGGGAATAATGACTCCGTGTCGGATATTCTCTACTATCATTATTTGAATACGTCGATTGGTTTTGAGCATGCGGTGAGTGAGTCTTTGTTCTTGTTTTTGTTTTAGGGTTGGGATTTGAACTGATATTTCTCGTTCTCGCAGCAAGCTCAGCTCGGCTGGAACTATCTAGACTATGAGGATGGGTGGCCGGTGCCTACCGGAGGCCAAGATGCTACCACGGCCAATGTCGCCTTCGGTTATGGACCTCCTAGCTGGGGTTACCTAGCAAGTGTTTTGGGTAAGAGGATAATCTCCTATTTTATGTGTGTTGTATGCTGATACTGAGTTTAGGTGTATGGCTGTGCATGGGGCCATAGCAGTCCTCTTTCTTGCATCAATTCCCTCATATTCCTTTCTTCGTGATTTTCAGCGGTTGTACTTATATATCCTGACAATAGCGTTTGGATTCCCAACATTATGCCTATGATCTAGCGAGCATTTCATCCAATATATGTCATTAGAATATCAAGCCATGGCGCTAAACCCAATCCATGCCCTAACCTTGTACTCTCAAACTTATTCCCAACCACCATCCACACTAACAATCTGTCCAGTCGTATACGACGAAGCATCACTGAGCAGAAAAACAACCGTCTGAGCAACCTCCTCGCCCGTCCCAATGCGCGGGATACTAGCCGGTGGCATACTAATCCCACCCTGAGTCTCCTTCGCCATGTCCAGCAAAGGCGTCTGAATAGAACCACTACCACAAAACCCAATTAGCAAAACCCACCGAAAAGCACTCTTCCCCAAATACTCACGGTGCAACAGCATTAACCCTAATATCCGGCCCCACCTCCTTCGAAACCGACTTCGTCAACCCAGAAACAGCATGCTTCGTAGTCGAATACGCAGCATGCAACGCAAACCCCTTAATCCCCTGAATACTCGACGCATTAACAATACTGCCCTTCCCACCAGGCGCAGTCGCCGTAATCGCCCGCAACTGCGCGCGCAGACAGTACATCAACCCGGTGACATTAACGCGCATCAACATATCCCACTCGGCGTCGTCCTGGTCGACGAATTTGCTAGTGCCGTGGTTCTTGCCGATCGTGCCGGCCATGTTGGCTGCGCCGTCCAGTCGGCCGAAGTGCGAGACTGTGCTGGCGATCCAGTCTTGTACGGCGCTTGCGTTGCTGATGTCCAATGCCGTTGTAATGATTGTCGAGGCTGTGGAGGAACCGGAGTCGGTTTCAATTGTTTGTCGTGCTGCGGAGAGGACTTTTTCACTAAGGTCGGCGAGGGAGAGGAGGGCTCCTTGCTTGTGTAGTTGGCGTGCTACGGCTAGGCCGATTCCGCTGAGGCCGGTTATGGCGTATACTTTGCCTTTGACGGAGTCCATTGCGGTGGGGTTCTTGATATGTTTGGTCTGGGAAATGAGAGATGTTGTGGACTTGGAGAGTAGCTGTGTTACTTGCATGATCGCAGGGATCGGAGATCCTCCGTGGCTAATATGTATGCATGTCCGGGTATATTCGAGCTGCATACAACATAGACAATAGGCTAAATGATGTACATATTTAGAGAGTTGAATACCCGTCTACCCCACGAGCTCCATTCTTATATAACCGAAAGGATATACATACCCTATGAAAGCAAGTATGGAGTTTGAATAAGATGATGATAGTAGCCTTGGCTTATTGGTTTGACCAATGCATCAGTGCATTCTACAGACCTAAGCTATATTAATTGAATATATATCCACGACTTGTCTTGCATATATCAGCTTTCCAGATGTACATCAATATGTCCACATCTAACCAACTCCAAAATCACAAATGGGTATCTCAAAATGCAAAATCAACACTCCAATCTCAAATAAACATCCCCGACAGAAGCATTGTCCCAACGACCAAAGCCACCCACCCCACCGGCCGCCTCACAACCCCAGAATTCTTCTCCGTTTTGGTCCCATATACAATCCCATGAGCATTCAAGCAGTACATGACTTTTTTCGCCTCGGCCGAAGAAGGCACATCACAGATCGCCGTACAAGGATCGGGATCCTCATATATCCACACCCCATTCGGGCAGCAGGACTGCAAAACAGCCTTCATATCTCTGTCCGGGGCTTTCGTCTGGTACAGCGGCACCTGATTATAATATTCGATATTGGCGGGGATGGCGGGCACCGCGTCGCGCAAGTCGTAGCACTCGGCCGGCTGTGTGAATCGTGTGACGTTGGAGTCGCTCATTATGGGGGGTGTCATGGTGTTTTTTTGCCCTTGCCGGGTGATCCGGTGCGAATGCTTTCGCGACGCGACCCGAAACAGTATTTTAGCTGTTATTTATGGCGGGGATGTGCAGTGCTGTTGATCGCGGTTCGTGGAGAGAGAGGGAGGCGTGGTTCGGCAATGCAGAGAGGGGAGGGATAGTCGGGGGAGTAGAGAGAAAGCACAGTCGGGGATTCTTCAGAGCATATGGAACTAGTAATGTCTTCAAAACCTCTCTTTTTTTACTCCTGAGCACGGGGGGGCAAAGCGCCAAGCCCGCATTCCCGGACGTTGGAGATATTTGCCTGACAAGTGGAGATGCGGGCCTGAGTATTCAGCTTGCAGCGAACTCCTTTTTGGGCATCAATTTAGGTAATGCTGTTAAAGTGAGACAAAAAGGGGAAGTGGGAACTGATATTTCGGTCTCTCCTTGCTGGGCTATTTACTTGGTAAGCTATATTGCATGTCTTTCTATATACGGACTAGTACGGAAGATTTCTACTCCTTTATCCCCTCGAGGGCAACGACCCTACGGTCAGATTTACAACCGAGCGGTTTCATTGGCTCGCTTCCACATTTTCTTCCTGCGCTCATGTCCTTCGTTGAAATCAGACAGCCATTTCTGATCGAACGGAGGTAGGCCCCGTCCTGCACCACCACGAGGTTCCCCGGCTAGATGGCGGAGGCTCTCGAAGTAGGGCTCGAAGTCGGGGTTGATGACTGTGAACGCGGGGCCATCGCTCTTCTCCGCGATGCGGTCGGTTTCCCATTTTTCCTGCTCGGTGATCGAGGGTAGGGTTATTTTGCCGGCTAAAAAGCGTGCGGCGGCAACAGCCTGCCATTCGAAGACTTTGAAGGTCAACCCAGCACCAACCTGAGAGTACTTCGTTAGCTTTTGATCCGGGGAAAATTCCTCGACTTGATAGACTTACAGCGCCTACAAAAACAAGTGTTGGATCATGTCTGTAGAAGACATGTTGGTATAGATCCGGCACACGATTGTTCCGCGTGGCAACCTGAGGCAAGAAAGGCAGAGTCCAGCTGAAGCCAGTTCCAAAAATCAAATAGTCGACATCAGTCTCAAAGGTGCCGTCTTCGAAATGCACGGTCCGTTCGCCTTGGTCATTACTCGTAATGTGTGAGATAGGCGGGCGACGCTGAATCTTCGGGTGCTGGAAGGCGAGATCTCCGAAATAGGCGTTGTAACGACCACGAACCACAGCAATGACTGGTGTCTGAGCACTATCAATCAGGCTGACTGCAGTATCAGCAGCAGAAACAGACGCTCCGACGGTGATGACTTTCTGCGATGTGTAAGCAGGTGGTAGAATGAAAAGGCAGGAACTCCATTTACCTTTCCCCGATACTTCTCAGGCCCACGGTAATGCTTCGTATGTTGAACACTGCCGGGATACCTCGCAGCAAACTCCTTCAACCCGGGAATCACAGGGATAAACGGCACTGCGTAATGGCCCGAAGCCACCACAACTGCATCATACTCCTCAGACCACCAGTAATCCGACTTGACACCGTCCAGCACTTCCGTGCTGCGGAATGTAAGCACCCATTTCTTGCTGCTGGGATCTTTGATGGCGCGTTCAACGGTAGTATTATACTGAACAAGATCCTGGTACCCCTTTCGGTTAAACAAGTCCTCAATATACTTCCGGATAACCGAATGGTGCCGGAAAGGCGTGTCTGCACCATGGCGCTCGATCGACCACTGGGATCGAACTGTAGGAATCTCCTCTTGCGAGAAAGACATGGCTCCCGCGTTCACATTAGTCTCCAGTGTCGGGTAGACGGGGGAGTCCGTGAAACGGTCCTGGGAAACTACAGGCGTCCGGCACGGGAGGTGCTCGGGAATTTTGAGAGGCGCATCTGCTGTTCGCGCAGCTAGACCGTCAAAGTCGAACTGCTGTGACGGTTCGTCATCTCTCGATACCCTTTTATTTATTAGCGGGAATCGGCGAAGATAGTAGAGTAACATAGTGACATACCAGCATCCGCCGGCTTTCTCTTGTCTCTCGAATACATGGATGACATCGAATGCTTTCTCTTGTGCTAGTGCATCGACTGCAATGGCGCCAGCTGGGCCGGCCCCGATGATGGCTACGCTCTTGATCTGCGGCATGGTGTGATATTTATGTTTGGTGAGAGATTGGGCGTGTAGCCGCTCTTTATCATCCAATGCTGTCTCGGCCGAGCACCCGAAAAGGCAATATCTGGGGTGCAAATCGTTCGACTCTATCACGCCATTTGACTGTGTTTTAGCGCAAAGTTGGCATTGGCGGCCAATGAGGGCTCTCGATATCGTATATAGGATAGCCGAGGTCAGACTCACGATATGTAAATGAGAACCGCTTTCATTTAATACATTAATGCCGAATTGAACATGCTGAATCACTCACATTACAAGTTTTTTATCTTTCTCCATCGGCCTGGCATTTCATCCGTTGATCTGATTGGCTGTCGGCATTGAAGTTTTGAGGTCACGTGAGTAAATCCCGGGATTCTTCAGGAACTTTATTCTGATTGGTTGGGAGTTTATGCCTTGGAATTCAGGCCATAAAGTCATACTTCTGTGTTTGTTTTTCTAGTTCGGACGTTGAACGGGCATTATGATTTGCTTAAATAACAAGAGATAATGCAATTTGTAAATGATTATACAACGGGATCGAAACCCAGGGTGCAAAAGCCGCTAAACTAAGTAAACACATCGGTAGCATACCGCTCCTTCGTCCGCAAATTATCAAAGAACTTCTCAGCAGCCTCATCCTCCCCAAACTCAGCACCAGGCGGAGTCTCTCCCTTGGCCTTAAGCTCGGCGTGCACAGCATGACGCCTCTCGAGATACATATCCTTGCAAGCCTGGCGGATACCAGCACCAACCCCAGTGCTACCGCAGACATAGATTCTCGCGCCTTCTTCAAACAGTTTCACCAGCTCTTCACGGTCCTCGAGCATGACATCCTGGACATGCTGTCCCTTGCTTCCATCGGCAGGACGACTGTACGCCCAGCGGACATCGACAGCGCCCAGCGCAGCCCACTCGGCAAGTTCAGCAGCGTGGATATCGTCCAGGCCCTGGGTGCGGCAGC